AATCTATATATGGTTTTACTATGATAGTATATATGGATTAAATATGGGACTAAATATCTATAGTGTACCCTCTGGTAAACTGTCCCATAACTATGGAAAATCACCATGCTATCACTGGGAAAGTCCACTATTTCTATGGCCATGTTCAATAGCTACGCAACAAATTACCAGAGGGTATCTAAAAGCATTTAAAAACTCTGAGAGATATTTTTTGGGTAAGCTATATCATAATAACTATCATAGCTATGGTATAGACGGTATAGCTATGGAGATGGAGCATATTTACTTCGACGGATTTCCGTTACGGTTCTTTGATTTGCAAATTGGCGCTTTGCCCATGGCGAAAGAACGGAGATTTTCCAGCCACGTTTGATGACACCAGAGAGTATCGCTATGGCTGCAGACCTTTTCTCGGGAGCTACCCAATCCAAATACTCAGCAAGTACCTAGGGATACATAGGGAATCATAGGTACCCTCTGGTAAACTAACAGTTTGCTATTGAACATGGCCATAGAAATAGTGAGTGTTCCCATTAATAGCATGGTTTTAATTTTCCATAGTTATGTGAACGTTTACCAGAGGGTACCATAGGGATCCAGGGTGGACTCCTGGGCTTTGTTTCCTGGTGTCTCAGCCCAGCTATAGTTTCATCTCCCAAACCCAAACAGCATTGTAGTAATGTTCACCAACTGAACGATTTCGGTCAACATCCCAACCGGCTGGATAGGTAGTTTATGGATGTTTATGGTAGTTAAATCATGTTTAATCCTTCCGTTGCGATCAATGGAAAACATCACCAGCAAAGTTTGGATCCCTGCGGCCTAGACCTCTACCGATGACCCAGATTCGCCGAGGCCCGTCGACGTCTGGAAGAAAAGAAAGCGGAAGATGCTGCGAGCGCTGCTTGGTTCGCTTGCTTCGCCAAGAACGTTTGAAAGATGGGGATGTTCATATGTTTTTCGATGTTTTTTCTGTTGTTTCCTCAATGATGAGTAATGCGTAATTCCCCAAAAAAGATAGAAAACTCATTTATACCCACTATTGTCCTAGGATTTTTGTTGTGGGGGGTTGCTCTTACAGCAAAAGTCTCCGGACGCCATTGGTACCCTATCTGCTTGGGGCATCCAACTTACAGCCACAAATGGATCTTCAACGGTGGTTCCCTATATTCAATAGCTACCAGCGTGTTGGTTGAGAACCCAATATAACTGTTACTAACTATATATAGCATGTAGATATTACAATAACCCAACAGTTGGCCAACTCATAAACCAACTTAGCGTTTGGGGACCACTTTCTGTAGGGATTCTTGTGATTATAGTAATATGGTTTTGCATGAAAATTACCTCTAAAATCATTGGATTATCATCAGTGTCTCCATTTTAAAAAGCCATTTGGGGGTATACCATGGCATACCCCATTTTCAGGCATACCCTCTGGTTATGTCAAAATAGCTATTGAAAATGGCCATTGCCATAGAAAAAGTGGATTTACCCATTAAAAATTGTGATTTTCCATAGTTACGTTAGTTTACCAGAGGGTACTCATATATTATACTCAGTCACTCAGTGGATTTCTGGGTAAACTACGTGCCATGTTTGGGCACCAAGTCCTTGAGGCTGCAGCGAAGCAACGCCGTACCTGGGCAGCGGTGGATCTGGAAGTTCTGGAGTTGCAACTAGCCATTGATCCGATTGTAAATGGGATTTTTCATGGGATTGTAAATGAGATTCCAGATCCACTTGAATTCACTGAAATGGACACCAGCTCTTTACCAAAACAACCTGCGGGGTTCAAATGGGATCCCCCAAAAAGATGTCCTTCGCAACGTTGACATTGTGAATTTGCTGGAGTCTCAGGGATGGTTCATGGTGCACCACCTGGTTCTCATAGCAGCTCATAGCTGGTGAGGGGTCATCCTCCCAAGATGTGGCAGTTCATAGGTTTTGATCCATCCCCATGTACAATGTTTGAGAAAATCTAAAAAAACTGGGGAAATACAGATACAATGAATAGAAACTAAAATTTAGTTTTTCATCTTTTCTCCAATCAGTTTGGGATATTTCGCATGGAGTCAGTTATATAATCCAACATGGCAACATATCCTATTATATCACCCATTTCTCCCTACAATGTGGCCCCCCAAGTTATACGTTTCTTTGTAGCCTCCAATTATATAGCTATACTTATAGGTATCATAAACTATGATTTTGGTTGGTTCTAATATCATAAACATATGTGTTTAATAATTTAAATATACCTAACATGAAGTTTAATATAAGTTGGGTTATAAGTTGGTGAATGTGGTATATAAACCCGATGACTCGCATTTGGGGATGGTCTATACGGTTCACTTATGGCCATATCATTTCATTACCCTCCTGTAAACGTTTAGATAGATGTGAGAAACCATGGTTGTTTCCCATATCTATGTAAGCGTTGACCCCCGGGCAAGCCACAAAACCTAGTTATATCATGTATAATTCATATGAGTCTATGCCCAAAATAGTTGTTATAGTTGTTATCTATCTATCTATCTATCTATCTATCCATCCATCTATCTATCTATCTATCCCCATTTATCCCTATGATTTTGGATATCATGGTATATTTATCCCTATGATTTATCTAAATAAATAACTGACTGATGGATGGTTCTGAAGCCACAAGCCATCCATCAGTCATCCATGATATCACCCAGTGCCAGGTATCTCGGAGGAGGCGCGTCAGCGCGAGCTCCAGCAACGAGCCCAGATGAGGTTCGTCCGAGGGATCGGGATCTTCCGGTGCTTCGAGTCCGAAGACGGGTCTGGGTATAATGTTTTTTTTTTATAATAATGTAATATATTGTAATATAATATATGTACATATATACATATATATATATATATAGATATAGATATAAATATAGATATAGATATATACGCGCAACGCCTGGGCTTTGCCCAGGCGTTGCAGCGTAGAGGTTTCCCATTCCCAAACAAATGTTGATGCAACTTCACAAAATTCCTATGGGAAAAACAACAAAGGTACTAGGGAATATTAAACTCCCACCCCCGTTAAACCTTAAATTCCTATGGGAAAAACAACAAAGGTACTAGGGAATATTAAACTCCCACCCCAGTTAAACCTTAAATTCCTATGGGAAAACAACAAAGGTACTAGGGAATATTAAACTCCCACCCCCGTTAAACCTTAAATTCCTATGGGAAAACCAACAAGGTACTAGGGAATATTAAACTCCCACCCCCATTAAATTTTACATTCAATGGGGAAGATCAACAAAGGTACTAGGGAATATTAAACTCCCACCCCCGTTAAACTTCACATTCATTGAAGATCTTGAATAAGGGTTTAATTCTCCCACCCCCGTTAAACTTCTAAATTCATTGAAGATCTTCAATAAGGGTTTAATTCTCCCACTCCCGTTAAACTTCTACATTCATTGAAGATCTTCAATAAGGGTTTAATTCTCCCACCCCCGTTAAACTTCTACATTCATTGAAGATCTTCAATAAGGGTTTAATTCTCCCACCCCGTTAAACTTCTACATTCATTGAAGATCTTCAATAAGGGTTCTACATTCATTGAAGATCTTCAATAAGGGTTTAATTCTCCCACCCCCGTTAAACTTCTACATTCATTGAAGATCTTCAATAAGGGTTTAATTCTCCCACTCCCGTTAAACTTCTACATTCATTGAAGATCTTCAAAAAGGGTTTAATTCTCCCACCCCCGTTAAACTTCTACATTCATTGAAGATCTTCAATAAGGGTTTAATTCTCCCACCCCCGTTAAACTTCTACATTCATTGAAGATCTTCAATAAGGGTTTAATTCTCCCACCCCCGTTAAACTTCTACATTCATTGAAGATCTTCAATAAGGGTTTTAATTCTCCCACCCCCGTTAAACTTCTACATTCATTGAAGATCTTCAATAAGGGTTTAATTCTCCCACCCCCGTTAAACTTCTACATTCATTGAAGATCTTCAATGAGGGTTGAATTCTCCCACCCCCGTTAAACTTCTACATTCATTGAAGATCTTCAATAAGGGTTTAATTCTGACGATGATGATGATGATGATGATGATGCGTCGCCTGTCGTCATTTGCCGTATATATATAAATATATATATATATATATTTAATTTTATTTTTATAGAGAAAGCACATATTATATATATAGTTATATCCACTTTGTTTACATAGCATATGTTGATACAATGTGGGGCCCCCCAAATGATTAAGTTCGTGAACATCACTCCAAGAACTATGGTTTATGATACGCAAATAAACTATAGTTAAGGGGGGTTATAGACCCACTTATGATTTGTGGACCCCACATTGTAGGTTTACAAACCAGCTTATAACTTATAAAATCTTATTTTCACCTTGTAGTGGAAGTGGTTTATTACTCCACCTGTTTGGTGTGGAGATATAAGACCAACAAAGATGTGGATAAGATGTGGATATAACATGATATAACCCGCCAATTTTTTGGAACATAACCAAGAAGTCAACGAACATGGAGATCTAGTGATACAGCCAGCTGCAATATTTTTGGATTTAACCATGAGAGAAAATGCATTGTTTTTTCTTGGTGATATAAACGATAAGATGTTTGGATAAATTGGTAATAAATGGGTCACCAACACACTATGGGGATATCAACAGAGAGAATCTTCCCCTTTGGAATCGGGACAATAGTGGGTAAACGTCACAAGCCAGAACCCAAGACATCCCCAACCGATCTTGGTGCGCGTGAACACCACAGGCTCAAGCCTTGCAAATCCTAAGGCTTCCACGAGACATGCCGAGACATGAAACTGATCCTGGGACAAACTTCACAAAATCTTATTCCCTTGATTCCTTTTGTTCAAAAAAGGAGAGCAACAACAGAGTCATTTGATGTAATTTTTATAGGATGTTTGATGTACTATTGTGTATAACTTTCCATGAATCCAAAAAACGGAAGCTTTGGTTTTTCGTTGCTTGACAAATGATCCATGTTTCGGCCGGAGCCTCGGAGAGTGGCCAGATGTGGCCAGTGGTTGTTCCAGTTAAGGATGGGCTACTGGGGTTACGTCGTAAAGTCTTATTAAAAAAACAGTGGAAGAACTGGATGGGGTAGAGTCTGAAAAAACATCTTATAACATCTTATAACATCCAATAATTCAAGTCAAGCATCACAAAAAACATAAAAAAAAAACAATAATTCCTTCACATGGTGTTCGCTTTCGAAGTGGCACCACCCTGCAGATATTCACACCAAGGAGGCAACTGAAGGTCTGGATATACTTTTCTACCATATTCTACCATTCTCTGGCCTTGGAGAATATCATTTTCTGGATATATTTTCCAAGGCAAATTGGCAAATTGGTTCTACCATTCTCTACCTTCAAGAACCATCCCAAATGACTTGCCGGAAATGGCTTGCGAATCCCAGGAATATGATTACCGTAGGTTCCTAGCAGTTCAACCCTAAGATCCCTTTCTTTTGCTGGGACCATTTGAAAAATCGGATCATGTTTTGGATCAACGGTGTCTTTTCGGTGGAAAATTGGAGACTTCCCCAGCAGGGCACTTTGGGCCGAGGCTTTTCGGAACGCCATGTGGTCGGAAGCCCGGCGACGAACTCCATGGAGTTGACCAGGGTTTGTTTGTGGTTGGGTCAGTTGCCCATGTTGGGCGATGGTCATGAATCATGTTTTTTAATGGGGGATTTATGATTTTTCTGGATTTCTAGTCGGGGATGGATCACTGGACCATACCTGGTTTGACCATGGTTTGACCATGTTTTGATACAGGGCCAAACAGGCTTGGTGAGACTCAGAAGTTTGGATCGTTAGGAATCTCCAGTCATGTGTCATGTGTTTTTGGGTTCTCCTGCAAGACTTCATGGTAAATTTTCGGGCAGCATGACTCATGACATAGGGCTGTCAGCTTCCCAGGCAAGAACACTTCCTGAGGTCTATCATTGGTTGGTTGCCGTGGCTATGTGGAGCATCTTGGGTGAAAAATTGGGACGACTGTTTTCGTGTTTGGAAAGGGCCAGTGCCCGCAATAAAATTCAACTCTGGCATGGTTCAGAAGTTTCAAACCAGAAAACTCAGACTTTGGTCATTGAATCCGTAGTAAACCATGCTGGTTTGGGACACTCCATCACTTGACGCATAGCCATCCTGAGATATTTCTGGGCGGTTACATCTACATTTTCTTGGATACATCCCATTATTGTGGGTTGTTTGTTGGTTTGAAAACCAATCGCAGAGTGAATCCCTGGTACATTATTCTTAGTTGCTGGGTTCGTGGCATCTGGTTTAAACATTGATTCTAACATGTATTAAGAAGTTCAATGTTTTTTTGGAACCAATGGTTGGCAAGGGTTTCATGTTTACTAAAGATTACTATGAAGACCCATTTAAAAAAATCATTAGCTGATGACACCAACAATGGGACCCCCATCACTAGCCTTTTCCCAACGCCTGGGACGCGCGGGCCAGGCGGCGGCAGCGGCTCCCGTGGGGTTGATCCGAAAGCATCCGTGCCGCGATGGCAGATTGGTGTCGTATAGTTGGGTATATGAGCTATGGTCAATACTCATGGTTAATAACCACTAATAGGGGCTAGTCATCCAATGGTTCATAGGGATTTATAATAACCATTATAAGGATCCTTATTATGGATTGGATGACCATCAACCATATAGTGAGTATTGACCATGGCTCATATGAAACCATGGTTATCATAGGATATATAACTAGGATGTATAACTATATCCATGTTTTTTCTGGTTACCTGGTTACCTGGTGACTGGAACCATGGAATTTGATTAGACTTGCCAGAAACAGTTGGGAATGGAAAATCATCCCAACTGACAAACTCATATTTTTCAGAGGGGTAGGTATACCACCAACCAGGTAAGTAGTGAATAGAATATTGATGAATATTGGATATAGATGGATATATATAGATAAAAATATAGTGGTATCGTATACGTGGTAATATCATGTAATATCTAGAATCTAGCAATTGGTAATTTATGGTAATTTACCTCCACTTAGCCACTTCATTGCCGGCAAAATAGGGGGCTTGTACCCAGGCAGTCGCATCTGTCCACGGCGCAGGGTGCTCTGCAGGGCTTGTGGGTCGCTCGGTGATGCCAAATGGGATGTTTCTCAGATGGGTCTGTCCTCCAAATGGTGGTTTTTGCCCGGGAAGACGGTGATGAACCAATGGATTTAGAGGTAGGACATTGGTTCATCATCCATTGAAGCTCTAAATTTTGATGATGATGATGATGATGATGAACCAATTTTGTGTATTTTCAGACAGCCACCCCCTTTTGTGGCAAAGAGCTCCTGCAGGATCATCCTGATCATCCTGTAAAGCATCAGATTCATAGAGGATCACCAAGGGGAGCATGGCAGGCAAACACAATCCATGACTTTGTGGATTTCTCCCATCACCTCCAGCGGCCAAGGAAACTCATGATCGGGCTCCCACAGGTCCAAGTCCGAGATGATCAACTGGCAGACTTGCCCTCGTTGTTCATGGTGTTCTCTCGTCATCGCTAAATATCATGGGATATGAAAACCGTGAAAACCATGTGGAAATCACATGAAATCACCTTTCCAACACTGTTTGTCTCCTTTCCAACAGGGCACCATGTCCCTCCTCAACCTGCCACCGTTTCTCTCCGGTTCAGGGCACAAATTCCAGCATCTTCATGGCTTTCAAGCGGCCTTCGAGGCGAACCAAGCAGATTTCGGTGAATTAGTCCACCAGATAATAACATGGAGAACTATACTTATTGGATCTTGTTGGTCTTGTTGGATCTTATTGGTGGGTTCAACTGTATATTCAATATATGTAATATGTGATGATCCATTTTGCTTAAATCGTGTTTCCAAGAACTTCTTGATTCTCCATCCCACATAAAAATCAGATGCAGGAGATGAAGGCCATAGAAAAGGCCGCCGAAGAAAGGGAACCTCGGCGGATCGATGAGCCTTTTGGAGTTGTGTATAGGTCGAACAAATCCGGTTGGTGGTTTGGAACATCTTATTTTTTCCACATATATTGGAAATCGACGATAATCATACTAGAGTCATATATATATATCATATTATATCTGATTGGTGGTTTGGAACATGTTTTATTTTTCCATATATTGGGAACACTAATCCCTTTTGACTTTCATATTTTTCAGAGGGGTGGGTTGAAACCACCAACCAGAAATGTCAAGAGTGACAGTTTTTTTTGAGCCGTCACAAAACATTGTTCATAATGGGCCACTCATTTTTAGTCTACACAATCCAGTTCAAGGGCTACCCAGATGCTGGATAAACCTTGGTAAAAGGTGAAGGTATCCAAAGAAAATGGCTGGTTCACGCGAAAGATTCTACATTGCAAATCCTTCCATTGGATTTGGAGGTTGTTTTTTGTGTTTTATTCCGCTTGGTGTTTTTTCAACATATAGTTCCTATACTGAAAACATGAGTCTTGTCATACGTGCTGATGATCACAATGATCCCAGAGTGACTCATAAATTGCCTCGGTCCTTGAAGCACCAGGGGGGATTGGGCCTTCATATCATAGCAATATATAGTAATTACAGGATCTGATTGGTGGTTTCAAACATTTTTTATTTTCCATTTCATATATGGGATGTCAATGGATGTCATCCCAACCCCATTGACTTTCATTTTTTTCAGAGGGGTAGGTCGACCACCAACCAGGGATATGATTGGGGATCTGAGGAATTCTCAAGATGTGGAGGGTGGGCATCCATTGCGGCTAACGAATCTCCAGAATGGACCACAAGCAGCTAGTGATGGCTATTGCATCTATTGGCAAACATACAGGTGACACCCAATATGTAATCAAAAATAGCATACATATATAATTACATGATATGTTCGCCGTTCGCATTGTTTGAGCTTCAACGTTTGGATTTGTGACCTGTGATAGAGTCGTTGGCTCCAAACGATAGGTTTCCTGATGGTTTTCCGAAGCTTCTTAAGGAAAGATGGGATGCGGTGAAGCAGCAATTGGAGGAGGAGTGTCCCTGGGCATTGATGAAACTGATGCAGTCCTTGATCGAATGCACCTAAAAAAAGAACCTGGCTGACTGGGAAATCCTATTTCATTTAAATAACACGTATATACAGTACAATGTGTATATATATATATATATATATAGATACGCACATAATATATATATATAATTATATATATATATACTAAGTCACCAGCAGATAGAATAACAAAAAACACTGGACAACAGATAGAATAGTCCAAAACGCTATCAGCAAATCCAACAGATAGAATATTCATGATAAGCAAAACATTAAAGAAACTATATGATTTTGATGATTTTTGCAAGCAAATCAAGAGATAGAATATTCTCACCTGCAAAAATGATGTATCCCTAAAATCATTGATTCTCTATGGGATTAATGAGATAATATTGCATTTGTGTTTCAATGTTTTCCATACCTTAAATCATTGATTCTCTATGGGATTGCTGAGAAAAAATGATGCATTTGGTTTCAGCGTTTTCCATGATGTTATATTTTTGAAATCATTGACTATCTATGGGATTGCCGGGAAAATGTTGCATTTGATGTCAATGTTTTCCACAATAGTGTATCCCTCAGATGATTGAATAGCTATGGGATGATTAGGAAAACATTGCATGTGGTTTCTACTAATTGCACATCCAAACACATGAAAACTGTATTCTTGCTAAGGCTTGTGCCAATGTTTTCCTAATATATGATATTTATAGAATGTGACCACTGGCAGCCAGCAAAGCTGGCATTCCAGTCTGAATATTCTATCTGTTGATTTTTGAAGACCGTTTAAAAAGAAAAAATCTACAAATATATATACAGATAACATTATATTTTGGAATTCTTCCAAAACCATACCTTCAACATCTCCCACAGAAACAGCACCAATCGAATCTAGTATTCCTATATATATGTAACTTTGGTTTGGTGTTCAATGCAGAAACGCAACTGAATGTTTCTATTTATACCGTTGAAATTTGCAAAGTTGCTGGAACTGCGCTCACCGTGCATGCTGTGATCCACAATGACATGCATAAAACACAACATTATCCCATAGGTTCAACACATATATATATATATTATATATACATTAAACCAACAGATAGAATATTCCAACAGACCAATGATACCAGTGATATTCACTTTTTGATGAAACAATTCTTATGTGGTTTCATAGATAAAATATGAAGTTCAACGAGATCACCCAAATTCACTAATTGAAACGTTAAAAAATCATTCTTTGTTGGGTACAATAATCAGTAATCCATGGAGGATGCAGAAAACCTATATATATATACATGAACCAACAGGTAGAATATTCCAGTGATATTCACTATTTGATGAAACAATTCTTATGTGGTTTCATAGATAAAATATGAAGTTCAACGAGATCACCCAAATTCATTAATTGAAACGTTAAAAGTTCATTCTTTGTTGGATACAGTAGTCAGTAATCCATGGAGGGTGCAGAAAACCTATATATATACATGAAACCAACAGATAGAATATTCCAACAGACCAATGATACCAGTCATGATTCCTTCTTTGATGAATATATTGATATGAAGTTGTTGATTTTGTTGATATTCATTCTTCATCGAATAAAATATACCATTGAAAATGCAGAAAACCATATATATTTATAATTATATATATACACGGATCCAACAGATAGAATAGTTCAGAGATATATTTCCATAATTTATAAGTTCACAATATCAACGATTTCGTATATATATATATACGCGAAATCAGTTTTTTGCTACTCATCTTAAACAGATAGAATATTCTCACCGGGAAACCAGGTTTCACCCGCAAATTTTTCGATCTCTGAACACTGGATAATATTCTATCTGCTAGTGCCTTAGTATATATATATATACATATATATACGGAGATGGCTCATATGCTTTATATTTATTGCCAGAGAGGGAGGGGAATGGGAGTGATTCCTTAAGCGTACAAACAACCAAACAGGTTTGTGCTGGGCCTGGGCTGAGACGCATCTTTGTGGCTTTCCAACCATCATGATTTGCAACCCAGGAATCCGTAGCGCTCCAGTGGGTAGCCACAGTACTGTACCCTCAACTGTTGGAGGTTTTGAAAAAGGAGCTAGTTGAAAAGCTGCCAAACCACAACAATTATGTTCATTGTTTGAAAGTTTACGATGTTTATGTGGACACTGTAGCTGTGAACCTAGCTATTTTGGTCCAAAGTTCTTTGGAATTGATAACCCATCATGGGGGATTTAAGCCCTTATTGTTGTTGGTTAAGATTCTCACAAAACATGAGCCAAAAGATTGTTGGAAGGGTTACCTGACAGGGCTTGGTGAAATCCCCACGACTAAAAAGCCCATATATATATAGCCACACGACTAATTAGCAGCCAGCCCATTTACACACTTCCAGCCTCAAAAAAACGGAACACATCAACAAAATTCAACAAATCCATCTTTTTCTATTGGATGGTACATGATTCCTTACATGATGGTACTTTTTGATCTGGGGTCAATATTCCAAGCCATCCCGTGCGTTGCGAGCAACGGCAACGCCGCGTCCCAGGTGCCGCCGCTGGAGAGTCGTGCAAGAAGTCCATTGGATTGGTCAAGGATCAGAACCCCGAGGACGGCCGGGACGGATGATGCTTGTGATACCCTCTGGTAATGACTAACATAGCTATTGAAAATGGCCATTTATAGTGGATTTTCCCATTAAAAATGGTGATTTTCCATAGCTATGTTAAATTACCAGAGGGTAGTTCATGCTGAATGATCGTGGACCATGAACTATCATTATCCATTGCGGAACGAATCTCCGTAGGTCCACAGCAAGATTGGGGAGTGAATCCCCCAAGAGTGAAGATTGTGAACGGTTTCATATTTTTTTGGGATGATGTTCGTCAGGATAATATGCGGGTTTTGTTTTTGATTCTGCACCCGGATGTAATGAATGCACGAAACATGAATAGGGAACTCCAACATGGCATTTTGTTGCGGGAAAGTTATTCTTTCAATACTAGGACGTAAAATGACATAGTAGGACCTGATTCTTTAGCTTCCAACCCTATTTTCTGGATCAGACGGTCAAAGAGTTAAAGCCCACAAAATCTGCTGGTCCATCCTTGCTGTGTCAGAAATGCGCCATGGGCCTTGTACAACGCTGAGGACAAGGAAGCAAAGATGGAGTACCTTTGTACGTCACTGGACGCGAAACCGGCGGAAGACCATGTGTGGTGTTTCTTTCAATTTTTGGACACGTCTCAAACTTGAGACACACCTGCTTAAGGTCTATGTGTATCTATGTGTTTGTTATTTGTTTTAAGCACTGTTGAATGACAGTACATGGATGGTCCGGGCAATTCCTGCCGACATCGCCAGCCTGTCATGAATCGCTCGGTAAAAAATGTGCATGTTCCTTGAGACAATGGATTTAAGGGAAAATCTACAGGACACCATGTTGTTTCAATGAAATATACTCCCTGCAAAATTTGTGTTAAACCAATGCATAGTTTAAAACAATGATTTGGACATATTTGGACTTAGAGGTTCGCCATTTTTTCAAGATGTACAATTCTGACACTAGCAATTATAACAATTTTCGCCCCCCATGCCCATTCCGAACCCCGCAATGGATTCTAGCCCCCATTGCAATTTCCCAGCGAACAAACAGACAACCCCACTTAACCCTTAAACCCATGTTGGAATGCGGCACCCTGAGAGGTCGCAAGCCCTCAGTTGCCTTTCGGCCAACATGGGCAAATGTGGCGCCTTTCATGTGCGGAGCTCAGTGGATGAGGGGAGGTGCTTTCAAGGCCAGAAAGAGCGTGGACGCTCAGGACGAAGTGACGGAGATCCAAAAGCAGTGGCAATGCGAAGCCATGCGATGTTCTGCTGCAGGCGGAAAGCCCGGAGTGACCTGGTGGGGCCTGGTAGTGACTCGAGCTTGGTGGTGTATTGAATCATGTTATTTGATAGCCAGAATGACAATGGTTAATGGTTAATGACGCTTTATGATTGATAGTTAAAGATTGATGATAGTTAGTTATATAGTTGATTGTCAATGATAGCCAAATGTGTGGGTGATGGTGATTGATAAGTCAATGGTTGCAAGGGTGGACAACAATTCAGGTCTCAGCATGGCCTCGTGCCTTGTCATCAGGCCCCAACTGCAGCACCGCAATCACCTTCCTGGAAATGGATGACGCTGGGCGGGTTTGTCCCAAGAATAGGGGAGAATCAATCATCAAATTTGGGAGTAGAGAGTAGCTTCTTTCGGACAATCCCAGTTGTTGATTCTTACTCCATTCATTCTCCCATCAATATCTTTTTTGTTTGTAGATTGTAATCATATTATAAGAAATAATAATATATATATATATACTCCTATATATTTTATGGTAAATATCCTCCCCAGCACCAACTGCTTTGATTCTTTTGGAAGCTGGCAGGGAGCTTCCGAAACAGCTTCCGCCAACGAGGATTCCAAACTCACCGATGAAACACGGCACAAGAAGTCGCGCTTTCTATGTGCCTCGCCCGAGTTGATGTTCCTGTTCTGGTTGGTTCATTTCCCATGATTTCCCATGTTGGTGATATGATGATGTTAATATGGCAGTGTGTCAAAACCTTGTACCCCTGGTGAACATCAAAATAGCTGGTAAATGGATGTTCATCCCATAAAAAATTGTATTAATAGGTATTGAATGGTATTGATCCATACCCATATATGTGAAAAAAATGCTGGCTATAGATTGATTAGATGACGTTTGTTCATTAAATGACTCTTGCTTGTGGTCACTGCAACGCACATTCCAACGTGACTTATCCCCAGATCGCTCCAAGGCTCAAAAGAGGCCAGGCAGTGTTTGACCGACCACAAGGATATTTGTATCTGAGCTGCGATCGATTCGGGAAATTGACCTTGTCAGGTGATGCACCCCCCAGTACCCTCTGGTTATGACTAACAGTTCGCCATGGTTTTTCGATGGCCCTAATAGAAATAGATGGTTTACCTAGCTATAAAGTGGTGGATCTTTCCATGGCAAACTGGCAATGTCATAACCAGAGGGTATCTCACAGTTTTTGGGTGCCATGTGCAGGTACCAGAGGCAGTTCATCCTACTTGGTTCACCTGGCAGTTCACCATCCCCCTTACATTAAATATCATTAAATACCCACCCTATGGCTACAGTACCAAACAAGGGGGAGATATGTTATTATACAAGGGAGTAAGTTCTGCAGAAACCGTGCCTAACGGTATTAAGCCATTGAAGCATGGTGCGGAAAGATGACGAAACAGATGCTGATTTGCCGACGGAACAAGAACCCTTGTTCAGATCTTTGTTGGAGTTGATATTCCAATCACGTGTCAACCGTCATTTGACATGGAGCAGTCGATAATCCAGAAATGTCCGTTTCTGTTGATATTTACTCAATCTTCAGCTGAAATCAATTTGCTTCATTGGACCTGCACGTTTATATAATTTGGAGATATTTGGAGAGATTACCTAACAATCTCATGACGTCACAAATAATTGATGATTAATGAATGTTGTAGAAGCGCTAAAACGTGGGCACACAAGCAGATTTGGGATTTACTGATGGTCAGTGCTGGTGAATATCCCAATTGTTGTTAGTGGAACACCCACATTTGCTCATATCATCCCTATTGCTGCCAATTGCACTGTTCAGAGAATTACTGCACACATACAGATTAGATTTCGGACATTTCTGAATCATATTACCATTAATTAATTAATGATTTAGATACAAATGGATTTCTTAATACATAGTCTTATTATGAATCATATACATATTACCATTAATTAGATCACATTATTTGTATCCATGTGTTTGTGATTTACGATACAAATCCAGATTTCATCCATCGACAGGGCCTTGTTAGCCTTCGTTCAGGCAAGACGGGCTTCGATATTGTGAGCCTTGGCCGGTTTTGGTGCTGAGGATTCTAGTTGGTGTCATATTAAGTGCTGTAATAGTGCTGAGTGTAATGAGATTTATATATATAATGTGCTTAAACGCTTATGTAGCTGAACTGTTAATCATGACTTAGGCTTATATTGATTCTCCGACTATTGCCTAGATTGATTCTTCTCCGACTCCGGTGTACATCCAAAGCAAACTGGGAGAAAAAAGCAACAATTTAGAGGCAACCACCAAATCCCATCGTTTACAATATATCAATTCCATTCAATTCCCTCTTATATATATATGGCTATGGATCAATACCTATAGATACCATTTTTAGTGGGATGAACATCCATTTACCAGCTATTTTGAGGTTCACCAGGGGTACAGGGTTTTGACACACTGCCATATATATATATATGTTACATAAACCATAGTTATTGGAGTTATGTTCACCAACTTAGCTATCTAGGGTGCCTCACATTGTATATATATATATATCCCCATGAAATCCCATCATTCTCCCAGTAGTATCAGAAAAATTGAGGGACGAACCGACCCCACCCCGACGAATGATCGAAACGGAATGGCTGAGGTCGACGGCCATGGAGATGGGCCACTGTGACAAGATCCTGTGTTCAGAAAAGGGTCCGGGCACCGATGTTCGGCGGAATCCATGGGGGAAATCCAAGAGTTGGATGGTGATTTCATGTTATTTCGATGGAGAATCCATCTAGAAATGGATGATTTAGGGGTGTCCCCAATTTTGGGAAGCTAGAACATGTGTCTGGATATGGGGTTCCCACTTCCAAGTGGCCATTTTCACGAATACATGCTCAATTTCCGTGGAGGAGTAGCCTGTTTTCAGATAAACCCAATGAATCTGTGCAACATATCCCGAGCGAAGAGTGGTTGATATTCAAGAGCTGTTGTTTATACACCAGCTGATTTAATGGGTGAGAATCGGCGTTTGGTACCTGAAAATGGTGGGAAAGCACGAACACCTGATTTAGAACATCATTGTACCTTGCTTACAATGCCAGAAACATGGCTGATTCATGTTGATGGTCTATCTCATTATCCCATACTATCTCGTTATACCACCATGTTTCCCCATTGAAATGGTTGGATACTAATGTTGTCTAGCCAATAGTGATATCTTGTCAATAGTAGAAACATTTTTCCGCAACTCCAATTTTTCTCCAATACTAAAAGTCAATTAGCTCCATTTACTTTTAGTATTGCCAAAAGAGTCATGTTCAGACCTTGTCCAGAGGGCATGGCCAATAGTGGACCCAACATGGCAATAGTGGAAACTTTTTTCCCAACTCCAATTTTTTCTCCAATACTAAAAGTCAATTAGCTCGATTTACTTTTAGTATTGCCAAAAGAGTCAAGTAAAGCAAATCCTTTTCAATGCAGCCTTCACTTTTGATTAGCAAAAGCTTAGATTCCAGAAATCTGATCGAATTACCAAACAGCTGATTTCCTTGTAAAACCCTTATTAAAAAAAGCAAGAAAACAGGTCCACAAAGGGTACCCCCTTTGCAAGCCCCAGAATAGCAATAACAAACCTGCACCAGGCATGGCAATAGTGGAAACTGTTTTCCGCAACTCCAATTTTGTTGCCCTCCTTCTCCTTCTCCTTCTCCTTCTTCTTCTCCTTCTCCTTCTTCTTCTCCTTCTTCTCCTTCTTCTCCTCCTCCTCCTCGTCCTCCTCCTTCGCCTCCACCACCTCTGCCCCCACTTCCATGATCCCAGCTATAGATTCCCAAAAATTGTTATAGGAAGGTTGACCCCCCCCAAAAAAAAAGAAGAAAAATTAGGGGGGGATAATTACTATTAGGCAGCCAACATTAGATACATTGTGTTTCCGTGTTGCCCCATTGAAATGGTTGGATACTAGATACAGATACACCGTCGCAGGTGACGATTGTCGAACGGCTGTGACATTCCTGACACAGGCGATACCAGATGAAGCTTGTAACTGAGTTGATAGTTGTGTTGATATCAACTGATAGTTGATAGTTGATGTATATAACTGAGTTGATCATTGATAGTTGATCGAAGGAAGTTTAGAAGTCAAACTTCCGACAATATGGACAGATGAAAAGCAGAGTAGGGGAGAGGCAGAGAGAAGAGGAAGATTAGAAGAGAGAAGATGAGAAGAGAAAGAGTCAGAAGAAAGAAGATACAGATGCGCGAAAAGGTAGGAAAGTCGCGAAACACTGTGTTTTTCCAATGATTTGTGGCTCCGGAGGGTCGAAAAGTAGGCTCGCTAAAGCGGCGGGTGCGGAGCCAGCTGGCCACAGGAGCGATGAAAAATTGCACGCCGTTGTGGCGCGAAGCACATTTCCAAGTCAAAATGCCAAAACACCTCAGGTCCGGACCACTTTTGGAAGTTGACGATGTCGAAAAAGTGCACGCCGTTGTGGCGCGAAGCACATTTCCAAGTCAAAATGTACAAAACACCAGGGGTTCGGACCACTTTTGGAAGTTGCGATGTCGAAAAAGTGCACGCCGTTGTGGCGCGAAGCACATTTCCAAGTCAAAATGTACAAAACACCCAGTGTCGGACCACTTTTGGAAGTTGCGATGTCGAAAAAGTGCACGCCGTTGTGGCGCGAAGCACATTTCCAAGTCAAAAGTGTAAAAAACTGACGGTCTCGGACCACTTTTGGAGGTTCCGATGTGGAAAAAGTGTCGAAAAGGTGCACGCCGTTGTGGCGCGAAGCACATTTCGAAGTCAAAAGTGTAAAAAACTGAGGGTTTTGAGCCTTTTTTGACGTGAAGATGTCGAAAAAGTAGACATTGATTAACTTAACTAACTTGACTAACTTAACTAACTTCACTAACTTAACTACCCTAACTTCGGCGACAACAGCAACAGCAACAGCAACAACAACAACAACACCAACTTCAACCACAATCACAACAACAACAACAACACCAACACCAACACCAACACCAACACCAACACCAACACCAACCACAACAACTACAACAACTACAACTACAACAACTACACGACAACTACAACTAGAACAACAACAGCTACTACAACAACAGCAACAACAAGAACAACAACAACAACAGCAACAACTACAACTACAACTACAACTACAACTACACAACAACTACAACTAGAACTACAACTACAACAACTACAGCTACAACAACAACAACTACTACTACTACTACAACTACAACAACTACTACAACAACAACAACTACTACTACTACTGCTACTACTACTACTACTACTACACTACACAACAACTACAACCACACAACAACTACAGCTACAACTACAACAACAACTACAACTACAACAACTACAAAACAACTACATCTACAACTATATGACTGCAACTACACTACACTAATTACATTACACCACAACTACAACTCCACTACGCTACAACTACAACTACAGTTGCAGTACATCACACTACATCCAGCAGTTGTGGGTTAGGTGACCACTGCAAACATTGCAACCACTCCAGCAAACACAACTCCAACCACCTTTCGGTCAATCAGTGGATTCGCTCTGCCATCCGTGATTCACAACAACCAACGTCTCCTATAGGTTTCCTATTCTGAAACTTCCGCCACCGCCTTGTGCGGTACTACTCTTAGTTGGTCTATAAAAGTGAGTTGATAGGATAGTTGATAGTTGATAGTTGATAGTTGAAACATATAGGCTTATATCTCTAGCGGTTAATAAACCAACTTATAGCTGAGTTGATAGTTAGGTTCACTTTTAGAAAAGATATGCCAACAAACCCTAGATAGTTATGTTGGCGCACACAACTTGATTAACTACAGTTAACAGGGGATGCAACTATTGTCAAGTTTGTGAAACTAAGCCAACTTTTAACTTGAGAGGGTGGTGCTTACCTTGCAGTAACCCCCAACATTGTAATCGTATCCACACATGTTTCTCCATACTATGACTATAGTACTATAGTAGTCGATAGAGGTATTTACTGACAAGTAATGCCTTCATAGAAACATACGGGAGGCATTTATCACTATGTTACTACCGATTTGACTTGAAGGTATCGTTTTGGGGCCTGCTCTGCAAGTATTGTGATGTCATTAGGAAGGTATTCAGTCTAACCCCAAACTATCAGTATTTTGGAAAGGTATGTTAGTAATTGTTAGTAGGTTTATACTCTTTATTAAGGGGACTGCTATACATGATGGTTATTGTGTATATGATGTGATTGTCCCTTTGGTTTTGTAACAGTTTGAAATGGAACATGGCCATATTGAATGGGCAATTCAATTCATCTTGATGTTTTTTCCCCATAACATGTTAAACTTCCAGAACGTATACATATATGGGTACTCGTATATGTTTGCTTAGAAAGGATTATATATAGAATATATATATATATGGTGATCGATCTAAAGGTCCTTCTAAGGAGTTTTAATTGCGAAAGCCGTGCATGTTATGTTGGAAACCCTCGCGAAAGTTTTTTTTCGAGTTCGCAAAAGTAAAATTTTATTTCGCGAAAGTTTCGCGAAAGTTGGGTATTATAATCATTATATGTAAAGGGCTGCCACCCACTGCCGCCCGGGGTCCGGCAGGAGAAGGGCACCAGAGAATGCGAGTAGCAGTAGCCAAGTTTCCAAAGGTGAGGCTTTGCGAGAGCCAAACACCAAGGCCCCTGGTCTTCGCTTTTCCTTCAGTGCACCCCCTGCTGATGGCCGGGGTCTGTGAATAGGGATATTTTTGCGAAAGTTCCGCGAAAGTTATGCGAAAGAGCGGGCGAAAGTCAAAGTGCATGTTGAAGGGGGTGGGCCAGTAAACTTTGCAAAAAAAATCTGTCCTGAGAAGGGATTCCGTGATGCTAGCTGCATGTTTAAAAGGCTACCAAGAAGTGATCCGTGATTCTCTGGCGTAATTTGGCAGGTGGTGAACGAATCTTCATAAGAGGTGTTGTTGGCCAACACGGGCCCCGCGAAAGATAAACATGGAGTTCGCGAAAGTTTCGCGAAAGTAAAATTTTTATTCGCGAAGAATGGCCGTTCCGGGATAAAGGAATTTTGATCAACAACCATATATATATATATATATCTGTCTAGATATACAAATTTATATTTGCGCAGGTTATGCAATACATGTATAGATATAGATATATACATAAATATATACACATACGAACATACATGTAGATATTATGGACATACATTGAGTTCATATATGAAGACATACAGTAGATACCGGATTCCTACATCCGGAATATTGGCTGAAGTTCAAGTATATGCTGTACTAGGGGGCTATACCAGAGCCGTCGTTTCTCGGTTTTGAGGATATATGCACGGGTGGAAGGGTTCCTTGATGTTTTCTGCGGTGAATCTTTGCAAGTAGGAGGAGTGACAACAAGAAAGCATCTCCAATCGCATCATGATTCAAGCATGTTCTACCCGATGGTTGGCTGCCTGCAATCTTTGGTTTCGATCCGGTACATCAGTTTGACCGATAGGATAAAGTGCGGGTTAGATTCGGTTAGATCTTGATCAACAGTTGTAATTCCACAAGTATTATGAAACCATTTTGGTATTGAGGTTGCACTGCTTACATTCTCATGTTGAGTGGTAGGCACTGCTGCAGCACTGCAGGATCCCGTGAGCAACGTCACGGTGAAAGAGTCCAAAGAAAAGTGGTCCTACTTATGCCCCTTCGCTGCACCGCATTCAGATAACGGCTTGTTGCCAGCGCTGAAATCACCAATTGTTTGTATTTGTCGTTTCTTTATTCGAACATTTGGACAAATCTTGGATCTTTGGACATAAAATGAATGGGAACCAAAGCAAAATTAATTTCACATGGATCCAGTTTGACAGCAACCCGTTTGACGGGTCAAATATGTCCACCGTCAACCAGTTTCCAGTGGATGTTCCATCCTGGGATGATGAAAATAGCCTGGGGGTTGGGGATGGGATTGGGGCCATTTTGCTGGAAGTCATTGGATGCCCACTGTCACCTGTTGATGCTTCAAACAAGGCAAACTCACCGCTGGTGTTGAAGAACTATATCAGAGAGCAGCAGAGAATTGACACTATCACCCATTACTGATCCTAATTGTTAAATCATGTCTCCATATGATTTCCATATAGAGATTATTTACAGTCCCTATTACAACCAGCTTTTCAATATGCACAGCTGGAACCCGAAGATTTCTCTAGCGATTGGGTCATCCCCTTGGCCCAGCGGCCGATTTTCGCCAGGTGGAGATGCAGCATTCCATTGCTTGGAGAAGAACCTGGACAGCGACCACGCAGTCGCACCAAGCATTGATCTTACAACACTATCTTACAGCACGACAAAGTACACGATACAACTGATATATATATATATATATCTCTCTCTCAACTAAGTATAGAAAGTGCAGAACTACAAATCGTAAGCCTTGGATATCCTCTTCCGGAAGGTTTGGTTGGTAACGACTGTGGTACGTACCACCGCTCGCGTTTTTTTCGGCACCGGTCACCGGTCAAAAACGCCATCCGCCGGCAGGAGCAGTGCACTCGTTACTACAATTCCCTGAAGTTGGCCTTTGCGGAGGGTCATTGTAACTCTGCACGCTGTGCTGGTGAAGGCCACAGGGATTGGTGGATTGGTCCAATTGGTGGTGGTTGGCCATGATGGCGATGGCCAGTTGAGCTGGAGAACTTTTTGTGGGGGAACTGAGTTAGATTAGCCAGTTACAAAGGCCAGTTCGAGAACTAACCATACTAAGTTACCTAAGTGAAAACTGATGGCTGAGATCAGTGTATTCTGGGCGATTGACTCAAGATGAATCAGATGCTCTGAGAAAGAGGCTGAGTTGTTCATAGTATTTAATAGTATTGTCCATGCATTTCCCATGTTTTTCGTAGTATTGTCCATATATTATCCATGTATTTCCCCATGGATTTCACCATCATCTGGAAGGGTTCTTGAATTTTGATCACATGTGAGGTCCGGACTGCGCGAGAATGGTGGACTATTTGTCACAGCCCGACAAGTTCTACTATGGAGAGGACGGATATACCACAGCTGACAGTCCGACAGGTTGGGGAAACATATGTTGGTGATATATGTTGGTTATATGATATGGGAAATGTTCATGGGAACAACTGTTGGCGGACTGGTTCTTTGCCGGAATTGACTTTAAATGGTTCTGAAAGAACGTTTACGCGGTGACATTATCCCACACAGATGCCGTCAGAGAGTTTCCATCCCTACTTCCAGGAAGGGTTTACAGATGCCATGCCCAGTTACCAACCATTGCGGGGCCTTTCTTTAATCTGAATCATGCCAAGCAGGGGTAGACCATATACCGTCATATACCCTAGAATGATCTAGAATGGGTTTGTTTGAAAATACCGTACCCCGAGTTACAATGGATTTGTAACATCTTCCCGATTTTTTTATTGCCATTTGGGGGGGATACACCATTTCCAGTGGGTCCAAATCTGAGCAGTTTCCAACGGGGACTTGTCACGTTTTATACGTCAGGAGTTGAGAAACAAGACCAAATTCCTTTGATGCTTGGATTGAATTGGATCAACTTGGATTGGCTTGGATTCAATTTGATGAACTTGGATTGACTTTGATGGACTTGAAGCTGACTTGGATTGGAAATGGTTCAACTCAAAAACCGCTTGTTGGCTGCCGGCTCCTTTCAGCGGGAGATCTTGCTGAAGTTCATCCCGTGAAATGATGGCGCACTTGTGCAATCTTGTGCATTCAATGGCTAAATGCGGGAGATATCATGATATATCTCTATATAGACTCTATACCATGCCAAAAAAACATGTTCTATGAGACCTCGGTATCTGTTAAATGAGTCATTGCAATTGAGTGCAAAAGGCGTGTCGTGGATTGCATGAACCTTTTGGGACATGCCCGTTGATCGTCCATGTGTTGGAATGATTTACAGTAATCATATTTTCCAACCAGCAATTTTCCCTAAAATTGGTTCGGGGAAAATCTTCAGGAAATCTGCATATTTTGGTGTAATTAATTAATCTACTTCCCTATGTTTTTCCAGAAAAAAACACTCCATTGAAAGTTACCAGCTGGCAAGGTGGTGATAAGGGCATCGCACCTTGGCACAGTGGGGAAGAGGGGAGGACCGTGGTTAGACATGGGAGATTTGACCAGATTTCACCAGAATTTTATGGGGGATATAACTTGTCATCACCTCTACTTTGAATTGTAAGATCTCAACGATTTTTCGTGGTTTCATGATTTTCAATGTATGGCATTACTGCTTCAAACTAGAAACCATCATAGCAGATGACCACAAACTGGTATATGTGTGTGTGTCACCATTGTTTTGTGTCTTCACTAACACATTCTAATACATACTAATTCATGTTTCATGCAGGGCTAATATAAATAAACAACTATTATTTATAGTAAGATTGAGTGCGTATTGGTGGATGTTTTAGGTGCAGCTGCAGGGTTTCCGTGCCTCAGTTGTACACGCGAAACCCGACTCGGCTGTACACGCGAGAAAACAACTCAGTTGTGCATGCGGATGCTGATGATTATGATGGTGATGATGGTGATTATGGTGATGATGATGATGATGATGATGATGATGATGATGATGATGATGATGATGATGATGTCGATGATGATGGTGATGTTGTCGATGATGATGATGTTGTCGATGATGATGATGTTGTCGATGATGATGATGTTGTCGATGATGATGATGATGATGATGATGATGATGATGATGATGATGATGATGATGATGATGATGATGATGATGTTGTCGATGATGATGATGATGATGGTGATGATGATGATGATGATGATGATGGTTGTGGCTGGTAGATCCTACCCTTTTCTTCCCCAGCCCCACCCCACCCCCCAAGGCTGAAGTGTGACGGTAAGTCGAAGGAAGTGGAGTAGCGGTTGTGTCCCTATAATGAAGTTAAGCAACGGTTGTGGCTGGTAGATCCTACAAGTTTCTTCCTAGCCTCACCCCAACCCCCAAGGTTGAAGTGTGATGGTAAGTTCCTATAATGAAGTTAAGCAACGGTTGTGGCTGGTAGATCCTACACTTTTCTTCCCTAGCCCAACCCCAACCCCCAAGGCTGAAGTGTGATGGTAAGTCGAAGGAAGTGGAGTAGCGGTTGTGTCCCTGTCATGAAGTTAAGCAATGGGTGTGGCTGGTAGATCCTAGCCTTTTCTTCCCTAGCCCCACCCCACCCCCAAGGCTGAATTGTGATGGTAAGTCGAAGGAAGAGGAGTTAAGCAATGGGTGTGGCTGGTAGATCCTACAATTTTCTTCCCTAGACCACCCACCAAGGTTGAAGTGTGCTGGCAAGTCTAAGGAAGTAGTGTCGAAGGAAGTGGAGCAGCGGCTGTGTTCCTATAATGAAGTTAACTAGCCCCACCCCACCCCCCCAAGGCTGTGCGTGTACAACTGAGTCAATTTTGTGTGTACAAGTGAGTCAGAATCCTGTGTGCGCAGCTGAGTCAATTTTGTGTGCGCAAGTGAGGCGTTTGACTCAGTTGTACACACAACATTGACTCACTTGTACACACAACCTTGGGGGGTGGGGTGGGGCTAGGGAAGAAAAGGGTAGGATCTACCAGTACAGGCACCCTAAGTGGTTGAGTGACTGAGTGGCTGAGCGTATGACAAACTTGGCAGAATGGCTGTATGGTAGAGGAGTTCGATACATAATTAAGCAACTTAAACCCCTCAGGTTTATCACTACACATTTTCTGGGGCATGACGTTGCGACAATAGCATTGAATCACTGGCATTCCTTTCTGGCTCCGTTTTACAATGGTTTTTGTTGGTTGGATCAGTCAGATAAAATTTTACATTATTCCAACACAGTAGGGTCCAAACTACGTTCTGAAGTTTTCTTTTCAGATACTTTAGAACAATCCAAATAAGTGTCGTGCACAAAATGTTCACTATTTATTGTTAGTCAATGTGATGCCAACAATGGTGATGCGCTGGATTCTGGCGGAAATGGGAGCTGATGAGGATCCCCATTCCTCAAAGGACTTGCGACTGCAGCCGTCAGCGGATTCAGAAAGGTCTCGTCCGTACAGCTCGCAATTTCCTGATGGCTTCGTTGGAGGAGCTGATTGACAACATCTTGACCGAAGACAAGGTCAAGAACAGGAAGGTCGACATCTTGCGGGATGAAAGGGCACGAGGCTGAATGACTTGCAAATCAGTTCCAACCTTTTTCTGGACGACCAATCTGGATCGAATCGTGGAGAAAAACAACAAAGCTGATTTCAGGTCAGATACTTCCCATATACGGTCAGGCAATTGACCCCATGCACTCACCAAGGAATTACAAACCTGCAGCTGGTTCCGGAATAACCCAGATAATCCAGATTGACATATTCACTGAATTCCATTGATTAATGTCACAAAGCCTTGGAAATCGCACTAATGAAAGAGCACTGCTCCAAGTATAAGGACTTTAGAGCTGGTGCTCCCTCCCAGCCAACTCTAGCAAAGGGATATTTGCTGGTATATGGGTTATGGCGGCATCAAGTGATATATGCAATTGTGCCTAGAGCCTTTGGGACAAAGAAGGTCGTAGGAAGGCATTAATGACATCCCCAAATCTGCCAAGACCTAAGGCTTCCTACTAGTGGAACTACACACGTTATATGATGTTGTAAGCACGTTTTCTGAGATTTTTTTCCGTGGCATGGAGAAGTTTCAAAGAGCTCAAAAAGATCCTAATTGCTCCGGCGGGATCAATAATGTGGCCGAAGAGGATCTTCTGAAGCACCCAATTCTCACTAGGACCAAAAAAATCTTAGGGCCTAGTCGAACTGCAAAGGGTTTTTATGCGTATTCTCTGACATTCTTTTCGCATTTAAGATTATAAGGATGCTTAGGAGGCGAAACAAACAGCAAAAGGTGTGCAAACACAAACCACTAGAACCCAAGTTGAGCTTCAAAAGCCTTCGTGTTTTTGAGGCAGGCATGTGTGAAGCAGTATTTTGCCAGACAATATTGTGCCAATTTAGGCTCACACTGGTGCCAAAACAGGCAAGCAGTACAGTCTCTGACATCATATCTAGTTTCCTTCACAAGAAGAATGCGCGTAGTAGTAAGCAATCCACAAGTCAAAAGGCCGTGAAAAAGAAACATTGAGTTACTTGGTTCCAATGCATGCAGTCAGTGAATAAGCCGGCCCCTATGTGCAAATGCAGTGCAATCAGGTTGACAGATCGTGTGCCAATTAGGCGCAAACTTGTGCCAAGAAGGCAAAGGGTGCCAAAGAGAAGGAAAGGAGAAAAAGGGAGACCCATCACACGCCTCCTCGGTCTGTACGCGTGATGTGAACCCGGACTCAGACTTCACCGGAGGGCCAAGTCCCAAACAAAAGAGAAGGGGGGAATAGGATGACCATTGGTCCCACAACTGGTGCCAATAAGGCGAAAACTGGAAAAATTGCATGGAAACACGTATCAGCCACCGGCCCCCGAAGCAATCCCAAAACGAGTTGCGAGTTTGCTGCGAGCGTTGCATATATTGTTTAGTGCAAGTAACCCCGGCAGTGTGGACAGCCTTTGCCAAAAATTGAACCCTGTTAGCCAGGAAGTAAGCAAGCCGGCATCCGCACCTGCACCATCCTGCACCCACAAATAAAAAAACGTGGGTCGCCTTCGTACAATCGTGATGAAAACACAAAAACGAATACCATGGTCACGACAAGATGTAGACAACAAAGTATTATCCGTTCGTTGGCATCTCAGACAAAATAAAAGTTTGGATCGCAGAGGAAACAACAAGCAAGTCACTGGTGGAACGGTGAGTTCCGATCCGTCACTTGAATCCCTTGCGCAGAACTCTAAACAAACAAATAAAGTTACAAAAAAACCGCCGTCCCACTCCCTCCTTGGTCAAGGGGGAGGAACACGGCAGCTTTGCTCGACAAAAGGACTTTCATTCAAGCAGCCGCTGATGGTGGATGCGCTGAAATAAACGCGTAAAGTTCCAAAGTTCTACCATCCTACTTCCTCCGCTCAAGAGAAAGGTATCAAAAAGAGGAAATAGGCCAGGAGAAGCAATCACAAATCGGTAGCCTTGCTCTGCAACAGGAATGTCTTTCAGGCAGCCATGAGATGGAGATGGATGCATAAGTCTTTTTGCGTCGCTAATCCACAATCTGTTCTGTTGGTAGTTCCGTCTAGCTGTTGTATATTTGCACCTCACGCAATAGAGCAAGCAAATGGTTCTTTACTGTTGGCAATGGCACAGTGATTGCATTTTCCATGTCTCTCTATGAACATTGTATTGGGGGCGGACGAGTTTGATACTATCAGCAACAGTGCAGTGATTATAGTTTTTTCGTGTCTCAATCATATATTATGTTGTTTTAAACAAATGTGTGCCTTTGTTGTTTATATTTAAACATATATAGTATTATTGTAGTTTTTCCACTATTACTATTAAATTTGATTTGTTATTTATGTTTTGTTATTTTTGTTTCTAAACATATGTATGATTGTATGAAGAAGATGTAGGATGAGGTACAGGAGCGTGCATAGGTATGCGAATGCATAGGGAAATGCGTACATAATAATATTATATTTATATAATTTTATACATAATATGATAATTATATAAATATATTAAAATTTGATACATGCATGCAGTATGACTGTAAGATATTGTGAATGAGTTGAGCAGATGAGCATAGCTCATGGAAGTCCCGTGCTGATTTTGTTTTCATAAAGGCCACTTCCCTCTTTCCAAGGCGTGTATCATGGAACACGGCACCTGTGCCGAATTCCAAGAAGCTGCCAAGAAGGAGTATAAAAGCTCGACTGGATCCCCAGAGGTTTGGGATGGTTTGGGTATTGGGATCTGGTGCCAAGGTATCCAATTTGTTTAACCAAACTTTGGTGGATCAATCTACCAATCACAGGCGGCCGGGAAGGGAACGTTGTGTTCAGAATGACGCCAATCTATTTGCATGGTCAAACCCATGTTTTCTTCTCTTGTTTTTTTGATTTATGTTTTTATGATTGTTTTGAGCGCTTTATAATCAAACCACTGAAATCAGTATGATACATGAATGTAGTCGCGCTTAGTGATGTTTACGCGTTGATGTTTCAATGGTATTTTACATAGAGTATGTGTTTACATTTTTCCATTGAAACTCAACTAGTCGTATCCAGTGGTGCATCGTGTGAAACCATTGCCATTCCACCCATGCACTGAGGGCATGTGGAAGATCCGAGCATGCACAGGTGGGTCGAACCTGGGTGTGTAACTAGGCCAAGTAGTGAAATCGGGGCAGATGTATCATGATGTCTCTACAGTTGGATGGGTGAAAAATCATCCAAATTACCCATCGTCCAACTGTCGACCATCTTATCGGGACTGGGGATATGTCATGGTACACCACCGGGAGTGATCTCTGAGTTTGTCCAGTTGGGTGTGCCACATGGACAATCAGGACAAGTGATCATAGACAGAAGGGGAAAAACCGGAGAAATCAGGACAAAGTGTGAAATTTACTGCTAAAATATGGTAAAACCAATCCCATTGACAATTGTTTCGGGAGTTTCGATTTTCCCCACCAATCCATTGAGGTTTTGGTCACCATAAATTGAGGTTTTGGGTCAACCCAACTGGACGGTTCGATGCACACGGCAACAGGTGACCAGGTCAATACCAGTGGATTTAAACAGGTCAACTGTTGAAGCAATGCCGCGCGTATGATTTTGGCTGAATGTCACGAACTGTTATACTTTTGTCATAGGCTGGTTGATTTTGCAATATCATATCTATCAAAAATGATCAAAGTGCGTATGGGCACATTGTTACAGGTTGAAATTTGAAATCCATATGTGCATCAGGCTACCCTCCAGTGACGAAGCATGGCTGGCTGAAGACTCCCTATCCTTCCCCTGAGAATTTGATTCCCTCCCTGGATACAAAGGTACTCCCCAATCAAAGCCACAGTATTGGATCATATTGGATCTATCAAGCTCATTCCATTTTGGGATATTGGAAGTGTTTCATATGACAAAACAATATCTGGGTCAACCATATGCCAATAGAGAACATATTTCAACACACATTTGTTCAATGTTTTTCATGGGGTTTCACCTTTGTTGTGCGACTATTGGGAAACAGAAGACAAGAAAGACCAAACTGTGGAGGAAAAGACACTGTTTTTGTGATTTCAGTTTTGTTCATTGTTGTGGTTACGGGTGTGGTCATTGCTATTCCATAAGAAGCCAATTTTGGGGGGGTGATTCCCCTTCTATCGACCATATAACCAAATATAGACCATATTTAAAATTACTTAAACCATACATGTTTGTCCATTTTTCACTAGCCCGTATTGAACCGTGCTTAAAGCATGCACAGAACATATACAAACCATACACAAACCATACACAAAATCACATTCCAACCTCGCCAAAGATTCTCAAAGATTCAGCCACTGGCAGGTGGAGATGCCGACTTTGCCCCCGGATGGCCAGGCGGTTTGACACGAAAGCTATGAAGGACGCTTAACTATCTCAGTTATACTTTGCATCCTCCTTCGTTTATAGCCCATGCAGCCCATAAGTGGGGGATAGTTCCATCGAAATGGGTCGAATCCTGGTGAGCTTGCCATGCAGGTGGACGCGCGAACAGATGCGGAACGCGCCTATGCGAAGCAAAAAATCAAGGTGGCGCCGAGAAGGGTGTTGTCTTGGGGAACATGCAAGTGGTATATAGGTGGGTATATACCATACATACATATATACAAATAGTATACAGAAATGTACATATGATTTTATGGAGGTATCATACTATATTATATATATATATATATGTATATTTGTTTCTATACGTAATACATACACATAAAGACTATATATGTGGACAACTGGACGTTTTTTTTAATAATTATATACAGTATATATATATACATTTACAGTATATATTATATGTTATGTTTTATGTATATTCTTCACATTTGGGTGACCCTACCGGGAATATCCTGGTGAGCATGACCTTAGACCTGCTCTCAACTGGGTTTTCAATGGGCTGTGATATGTCTTGACAAAGCAATATGATGGAATGAACAAGGAATCGCGGAAAAGCAAAGCAAAGCCAAAGCAACACAGGTATTTCACAGTATTTCATATAATATGTCTTAGCCATTGTGGAAACGTCCATTGACCAGCCGCAAAAGGTATCAAATGGGATGGGATAAGAATTGTCGCCTAGGTCAGCGCACTGTTTCTGTGATCTCGTTGAACGGATTTCTATGGATTTCTTAGTTTCCAGTGTTCCAAATTGAAGTGTTCCACCATGTGCGCTGCATTGCCACCCCCTTGTGCTGTACGGAGCCACAGGAGAAGGAAGAGAAAGAAAAGAAGATGCTAGTGACGGCCAAAGCGCAGGGAGAAAATCCGAAAGCGAAGGTAGTAAAGTCAGGAGCAGATGACAAAGAAGGCCAGCCAATTCTGCGTTCAGCCTTGTCCCCCTGTTGGGAAATGACAATTAAAGCAGTTACGCATGAAGCAATGAGTTGGTACACGGATATCCCTTGTGAACACAATTCAAAGTCAGGATTCTGTGGGTGTGCACTTTTCGAATGCAAGAATTCTCCGCTTCGAGGAAGATGGTATTTCTATGTGGAAGTGTCCTTTGTGCGGGATACTGAGGATGAACACCCGAAAAGATGAATATATCATATATCCAATAGGTTGTTTAACATAGCTATTGAAAATGGCCCATTTATCGATGGTTTCCCTATTACAAATGGTGATTTTCCATGTCTATGTTAAATAATCAGAGGGTATATCCAATAGAAAGCACGTATCCAAGTAACCTGGATTTCCACCACGTCATGGTGAAGCTTCAACTTTGACGATGGTTGAACCCACGGATCGAGGGTCTAGTCCATGTTTTTTCCTGGCAGCCATGACCCTGATGTTGTTTTTAGAAGCGTTGAGGGAAACTAGTTTTGAAGTTGGATTCAATCATTCGATTCGAAATTTCAGAGCCAGCCAGGTGAGATGTGTGGGACTTTATCAGCTGGGTTGAATCAACAATTTGGCTGCAACGTTCAAAAAAAAACCACGTGAAACCACAAATCTGGCTACCGGTTTATGAATGAAAATCATCTATGTATATATATATATATACATACATACATGCATACATACATACATACATACATATATTAGATGTATCTTATACATATGATTATTCATCATTGTCCCCTATGCGTTTCCCGGTAAAAGCTGGGATTTTTCAGCCATGGATCGTCGCCAGGTTCCACATCAAAGGACCAGCGAGAGAGCGCTGGCGAGGGCAGCGAGGGCAGCGAGGACAGCTCTTGTGGATCTGGCAGCCTGCTGGGATGAGAATGCGATGAAGCTGTTTTGGTCACGATAGAAATGAGACCGAATTTCATGATATTTCCAGATATGGAAAAATTATTTAACATGAATAGCTCTATTGATTGGTATGATAGAATGGGATTGTCACACCAATGAATGGGATCAAACTCATGCCAAATGGAATAATTATGATGGGCTTAAAGGTATTCCCACAATGGATCAGAATCAGCCCAAGATTCAGGTGGAACTGCTGTTCGCATACCCAAATGTTGTTGAGAATTTAGTGCTTGCCCACCAACGGTCTACCCTCCGATAATCAAACAAATGGCAATTGAAAATCCCCTTAATGGAGGTTTATAGCTGGGAAAACATGGAACACATTTTATAATCCCCCAAAATTGAAGGTTTATAGCCGGAAAAAAAACATCTATAAAAGGTGTATTGTCCAGTCATGTTTCATGACACCAGAGGGTATCCTCAAGGCTGCGATTTCTGCGATTTGGAGCCCATGTCCAGGCTGGGAGCAACAAGAAGCCTGCCATGACAAAGGAAGAGAAGGAGAAGGAGCCCAAATGAGCCGATGGACATGTTTTTTGGGGGAAGATTAGGGAACACCCATCCAAATTCCCAACGTTTTACTATTGTTTTTCTCCATTGAATAGCCATTCTTTGTTCTGCATCCAACTTTGTTGGACTGGCTAGACCAAAAATCGCTACTTGGATGTGCAGGACCCAGGAATAGTATATAAGTATTTCAGAACCATGGTTACTTAGTATAGTTTACAGGATGTATGTATATATACGTATATATATATATGTGTATGTATATATATATATATGTACAGAGTTATATATTACATATATATATATATATGATCATATATGTACAGTGTTATATTATATATATGGTCATATATGAATCATATATGTATATTTATATGTGAATAATTATGTATATTGTATATATACATATATTTGATCATGTATATAGTGTGTATAAATAACAAATGCTGGTAACTACTTGTTCTTATGTCATAAGAACAAGTAGTTACCAGCATTTGTTAACACCTTGCAATTCCTGAGTTTTAACACATACCCCCAGTAGCCCGTAGCATTTCTGTTTGAGGCCGGCAAAAAGATTTTCGCAGCCCTGGTGGTTGGTGTGGTTGCCATCGGTGGCTTCATTTATTGGCGGAGGTGCGGTGGGAACTCTGATTTGGACCTGGGGTGGGTCTGAAACTGGGGCCCGTACATCCCAAAGAAAATGTCATTGAGAAATGGGAAGTATATGGGACTATGATGGTGATATTTCATGTTATATACCCTCTGGTAAACTAACAGTTCGCTATTGAAAATCACCATAGAAATAGTGGATTTTCCCATTAATAGCATGGTGATTTTCCAGTTAGCTATGTAACAAATTACCAGAGGGTAATCATGTTAATCATAGTTCCATATACTTCCATATACTATGATATAATAAGTTCACTAATATTATGAAATATAATCATCATCATAGTGAACTTATTAATTCATAATCATCACGTCTTCGGTGTCAATATCTTCAGCCTGAAAATCCCAGCCGTGCCGAGGCGAAACTCCAAGAGTGCCTTGGCCATGGAATTTCTTGTGGCCCTAGGGGTTTTACATGTGCATTGAAGTGCATTGTGATCATTTGTGATCATTTGTGCATGTTTTATATATATATATATATATGGAATCATTTTGTATGACACTTTGGTTTATATGATTGTTTTTTGTTCATTTTGTTGGGATGCGGGATGACATCATCATCGTGACAACGACAAGGATCAGCAGATATCAGCATATTTTGATTGATATATCGTGCATGAAACCCTCTCATCTTTTTGAATGCTGGGATAGATCTGAGATCCATAAAGATCCATTCTTCCGCAACTATGGCAACACACAAAAAAGATAGACAAGTAAATTCCCCAAAAAATAGTAATAAATCGAAGCCCTTCTATCTTTTTGGAGGGTTGCTATATCCCATAACATTCATACCATCTGCATAGCTAGGAAAATGCCCTATAAATACATATAAGTACTATAAATGGAGGTTTATGGGCCATGTTCCATTGCCATATTTTAGCAGAGGCTCCCTCAATCAGGTGCCGCAGGAAGTGAAGGAACCAGCCCAACAGCTTCGCCCAAGTGGGAGCGCCTGGAATTTCCACAGCTGGGACTGGTGGATGAGTTTTTTCAAGTTGGTTCCATCATTTGGGCTGGTTTCCCATCAATATGTCCCATTTCATCTTAAAATGGAACATGTTGAAATATGAAATATGTAAGAAGTGCATGACTTCCCAGCCGTTGTTTTTTGTTTCAGGGAGTGAAACGACCAAGCAAGAGATGTTGAGCCATTTTGCTGGCGTCAAACTGAAACATTTCACTCAAGCTCACTTAAAATGCTGGTGATTTATCGAGTGGTTGGGACGCCCTCAAAGGTGATGCTTTTTGACTATCCAGCCTAGTGTTTAAACCGACCCAACATGACCCAACCAACTGTTTGTGTGTTGATCATCGATGATGGAGAAAAAAAACCATCACAAAGGTATAGCTATCTGTGTTTTTGTCCTCAGCGGCCTGAGTGGGCCAGTTGCATTGGAACTCCTCACTGACATCCAGCTTAGGCCTAAGAAGCCGCTAAGACCCAAGCTGGAGATGCTGCACAAAATGAAGGAACAGGCCAAATTCCGAACGAGAGGGGCCGGTCAGATGTATTCAGTTTCTGGAAGATGAATGCTATGTATGTTGCACTTGCATATGTAATGAATGAATGAATGAATATGTATGTACGTGCACAAAAATGAATATGTTATATATATATATCCAGCTTTAATCATGTTTATACGTTATATCTGGTATACATACAGAGCTAAGTCATGGAGGTGTTCTGTTTGCCATGGGCGAATTGGTGCGAACGGTGGAGAAGTTTCCCAAGGGGCCTACCTTGGTGTCATCAAATGTGGTTTGCTGGAGAATCCTACATGTGTATAGATGATTTTCTGGTTTCAAACATGGTTTTTATTTTCCATTTCATATATGGGATGTCATCCCAACCCCATTGACGAACTCCATCATTTTTCAAGATGGTTATTGCACCACCAACCAGATTTAGTTCGGGGATGTTCCCAGCCAGCCATGCTTGATTCCCGGATGGTAAGAGGCTGAGAAAACCTCTGAAGCCATGATCAATGTCAAGCATCTCCTATGGTGCCCACGAGCATATTATCCTACTGCAACAGATTTTGCGCATGAAAGAGGACACGAGCATATTTGGCCCTGTTTTGGTGGTATTGCGCGCCACTACTGCTGTTTTCACTGTGTTTACAGAGATCTAATATGATGGTGGATCCCAATTTGAGCTGTTTACACGTGATATCAAGTGATATCCCATGCTTTTGCCTTGGATTCGCATCTCCCTGCAACTGAAACACCAAATTGATACGTAAGCATACGTTATATTAATTGTGTTTCACGATATCCTGAAATCCATTGAAATCCTAGATATACTGTGATATACTCAGCAAATAAACATAAATAAATAAACTAGTTTTGGATAAGTGAAGAATAATTTCATATTATATACAAGTTAAATCACGTTAAGGAGCATTTCATTGTATTCCTGTAATAATGCATAATATGAATATATATATATATATATACATATTGCACAAATTTAGGTCCATTTGCCCTAATTTTCCGAAAAACTAGATGTATTCATATACCATCATATCTTAAGAGATCCTATAACCATATTTAAGTTAAATTATCTATTAAAAACATTTCATAACCTGACTTAGTAGTGCCCATCACTTCATTTGCCCATCACATCGATGGCCCTCGCGGCCGCGCCATGGCACACCGCGCACTCGTCGTCGCCATGGCGGCCGTCGTCGGTCCAACGGACCGGTCGTCGTTTCCGGCGAGACGGCAAGGGATGGTTGAGGTGGGCGGAGTTCATGGGGATTTTATGGAGGTTGACTAGGTTTTAACAGAATCTACTGGGATATGATATGTGACTTCTATTTAAATAAATATTATATATATATATATAATCCGAGAAATTATATAGAGATATGATATATTACGTTTTGATATATATATATACATGATGACCTCAGGTTTGGTACCTGAACTAGAAAATGAGGAAACCACAATAAAACATCGACCGGTTCATCATCATTTCTCCTATTCAAATTGACATATGTTGGGTGTATATCCATGTATATCCTATTTTCAGACACCCATGTCATGTTTGTTACACAATTGCCATTTTTGAGAATATGTTCAAATAGTTTAGTTGAATGTGCCAAGCACGTCGCATTGCTGTTGGATGTTAGCATGCGGGGATGCTGCATACAACAAGTGGCATGTATGTTGTTTTTATGTTTTTCCATATTGGGCATACAGTAACTAGATTCAGGTTGAATTGTTTATTTAAATATAGATATATATGTTTTCTCCATTCCTCAACTTGGGTTTGGGGACAGGTGATACAATCACGAAGCACTTTCAAGGATACTCATATTACAATTGTAACAAATAGAGTCATAAGAAGTCATAAGAAGTAGAATTGAGATAAATCGGGGGACAGCCTTTTTGCTACTAATTGTTAATCCCCATACAAACGGGTACCCACCACCAGGCATCAGCTTTTTTTTATCAAAAACAACTGCAGATATATCTACCATAAGCTTCGCAAAATCCAGCAAGGGAAAGTCCCATGTTGACAGTTGATTTAGTTTTATTTTCCCATGAAAGCTAAGTATGTCCCAAGCAGCCATCTAAGATTGGTTTCCCAGGGGGCGGGAGCCAAGAAGAGTGGATAGATTCAGATAGACAGACAGATGGCTATGTAAATCAGCAGATAAAGAGCTAGACAGACAGATAGATGGAGAATCTAGATACATGATACATGATATATGATATATGATATACTGTATGATATGAATATATGATAAATAACACATTATACGGAAAGACAGCCAGGCCGCTTCCGGTGCTCGCCTCCTGCGTCGCCTGCCGCGGCCGACCTCGGCGTAAAGCGCTGCCGGTGAGGCTGAAGACACAGCTGCAACGACGGCGCTTGGAACACGAAATCAGTTTCTTGGTGGAGGTTACCATCTGGTTATTTAACATAGCCATGGAAAATCACCTTTTTTTGATAGGTAAACCCAGGTAAACCATCTATAAATGGGCCATTTTCCATGGCTATGTTAAATAACCAGAGGGTATATCCTCAGTCAGATGGGGTTTCCATAAGTGGGGAATCCCCAATAGCTGGATAGTGGTTTCCATAATTTATAAACCCCAAGGGTTTCCATAAATGGGTATATTTTAGGACTGGCCAAACCCCTGTAACAGTCAGAAAATGGTTTCTTTACATAGCCCCCCCCCAAAAGGAGCACAAGATTTTCACATTTTTTTGCAAACTCATTGTTCATGCTTTGGGGTCATTTTGGTTTCCTGTGGTTAACAAAGCCCGGCCATTTGGTTCACTGCAGCCATTTCTCATTTCAATTTGCAATTTTCAATTGGGATTTCTTGTAACATATCACCACAATTCCATAAGACAAATCAATTTGCAATTGCAATAGGATCTTGGGCTTGTGTCATGGGCCATGCTGTTTGGAGGCTTGGGCCTTGGGGGTCCATCCACTCCTTCAACTGGTCTGTGATTCTTGTGACTTGTCTTGTTGTGGGTGGGGTTTACTGATTGGTTGGGTGGCTGCTGTGCTGAGGCTTGAGGAGTGATGCTGGCGGGGGCCCTTGGGAGCTGTTTCAAGATTTTTCCAATTGCCACTTGATGGATTCCTGGATATGATGAGGCATGTCCTTGCACCAGCTTGGCCTACGTATTCATTGGTCTGGCCCCCTGTGTTGCAACAGCATCATGGTTGTCAGTGTCAGTTTGTTGAACCCTTATAAAGCGCAAAGAATTGCAACCTGATTGAATGGCATTTGAAATTTGGGTCTTGTTTCGATGACCTGGCAAGGCTTAGTCAGCGTCTCCACATGGTGTCAGTTGTCATGGCCTGAGGGGACAGGGTTCACAATCTTGTTTGAATTGAACAATTTTTTGGTCTTGCAGTTTGGTCTTTGCATGTGTTGGCGGCTCATTGGTTCTGGCTCCAGGCAATGATTTATCAATTCATGCATGGTGACGGACACATGAATCATCAGACCCGGCTATTTACACATAGCCTACCCATCATGTCCATATAGCCTATATCACATTCCACATCCAGTCGCATCGCATACCGATACCAAATTTCAATAGAAATAACAATAGCCTAGCAGTGAGAAATTTCCCACTTTTCAATTGGCAATTTTCACTTGGATGCCGGCTTCGATTGCCTTGGAGCTCATTGAAGAGGAGTTCAAGGATATCTTCAAGGCTTTGCCCCGGAATCTTGGCCAGAATCTGTTCCACTCATTTCAGTTCTCATCTTGGTGTCTCTCCTGTTTGGACCATTGTCGTTAGGAGTCATGGGTGCAAAGGTTTGGTGGCTGCTTGTGTTGTTTTGGTTGATTTCTTTCCCCTGAACCTGTCATCTCGTCCATCCAAGGAAGTCCCAACAGGTCACTTGGCTCAATTGTCAGGTGAAAGCTTGAAGGTGGTTGTCATTTAATCTCTTGCTTTGTTTCAAGTGTCATTTCTTGCAGGTGCTGTGGATTCTCAAGAAGCTCTCTGAACCTGGCTTTCGCCAAGTCCTGCAGCTAGCCAGCACATAATGCCGCATTGTAGAGTGTAGACAAAGCCGGTTCAGAGTTTGGGTTTTGCACCCCCCACCCAAGGAAGGAATACAAGGAGGAGAGCAAGCAGAAGCCCATAGATAATCCTGACGGGTTTTTCTTGCGAGCGTGCGAGCGAGAGATCAAATCGTGCTTTGGCAGCAGTTTTGTCTTTGAACATGTCCTCATCTATCATGACAAAATTCAGAACAATGATCAATTGAATGATTACTTGTTCTCTTTTCAGCTGTCTTGGGTCTTTGGCTGCATAGTGACATGATGACATGACATGGCTGGTGCATAGCCATGCAACTCTTGGCCCATAAGGCACAATGAGCTTAGGGGCGTCTTCCACAGCTTATCGACCTGTGACTTGGCTTCAAACAGTGGATTTAAAGATACAATCCTAGGCATGGATGATCTTGATATGTGATATTATGATTTGATCATCTCTAATGTTCCTGTGTGCTGCACATGTTTTTGTGTTGGGCTGCTGTGCTTGTCAGGTGTCCTGGTGTTCCTTCATGGTTTTGTGGTTGCTGAGGGAACCCGCCGAGTGGCCACACCTGATGGACGGGAGTTCTTCTGGCCTCGCAGAGTTTTGGTGGTGGGCTATGGGGTTGCTGGGCGTGATCCTGATCATCGGGGCAATCCTCAGGCCTGCTGCCACTTGACAATTTTTTTGGGGAAGGGTTTGCAATCTACAGACAGACAGTGCTTGGAGACCCCCATTTGTTTTTGTATGTTTTTGTATTTCTGAACTGCCTTCCATCATTTCATCGCCCTGAGAGGTTCCAATTTGGAATGCTAATGCTGAGCTGGCACGGCAGAAGGATTTTGTCTGGGAGACCAAGCTCAATTTCATTTTGAAGAGGGACGGGTACCTTGGACACATTGGTGAGTGGGGCTTGTTCTTGTGTAGCATGTCTCACATCTTGATTGAACATGCTGATCATTTGGCTATCTGAGGCAAGATGATGGATTTGACAAGTCAAAAACTGGAGAAGCAGAATGTCAGTTTCTTTGATGCACCCTTCATGAAGCAGCGTGTGAATTCTTTCTTTGGAGGGCAGGACTTTGCCATGAAGGGTGCTGGCTTTGCTGCCGCTGATGATGATGATGATGCTGTCTTGGGCCACTACATGTTTGAAGAGGAGGACGAGGAGTTTGCTCACGCAGAGTCGCAAGCGAAGACGATTTGCAATTGTCACAAGCTGTGGTTTCGGAAGAACCATTAGGACCTGTTGAAAAGGTTGCCGCTGAAGATGCCAAGAGTCAGGCTGGCATGTCCCACGCTTCAGCTTCTGGCCTCAAGACAGCAGCTACGGACTTTGACACTCTCAAGAAGTGCCTGGGTGACAGCTTTCCAGCTACTGTGGTTCCATGCTGCTTGTGCACATACGCAGCCATAGCTGTGCATGTCATCTTTCAGTCTCATGTGTTCAGAAAGTCAAACATCAAAGGGCCAGACATCTTCCTAGCCAATCAATGGTTTTTGCTACCCCAGCTAGATCTGACTGTATGACTGTATGTTTTTTTGGTCTGGCCTTGTCTGCAAATCCTGCCGCAGGTGGCCGCTGAAGGAAGGGTACCGCATGTACTTCAACAAGCAGTATGAGCGGTGGTCCCTCAACTACAAGAATAAGTATGTCAAAGGGTCTGTTGCAAGATTCGACAAGCACGGTTCACACCAAGGCGCTGTTGCTGAAAGCGCAAAGAATTTGTTGTCTTGGTGCACGCTTGTTGTAGGCCAGAAAGGTTGATCTATTTTGGCATGAGTCATGCCCCCTTGACCCTGCGGAGGTGCCATTGACCATTTGCATGCTGTGTACTCGAAGCATGCAGCAGAAGCTTGAGATGGAGACTTGGATATCTGCCGGAAACTTTGCATGCATTTGCAAAGGTTGTCAATTACTGGTTTGATTCTGTCACGGGGCCTCTAGGGCTGTGATTTGCAGTTGTTAACAAACTGAGGATGGAATGGGATGACAATGAGCCCAGGTGGCACCTTTGCTAGTTGGGTGTGGCAATTTGCAATTTTGGTAGGTGATGCGGCAGCGTGCTGAATGTGATCTGGCACTCATTGAAGCTGGGAAGTCTGTGGCAAAAAGCATCTAGCGGCCCCTTGAACTCTCCAGACTCCATCCCTTTTTACCCTTTTCCTGTTCCTCTCCTTGTCCTCCTGCTCTTGGTCTTGTAGAAGTTTGATTAAATTTGTAAAATCCACTTCCTTCACCAGGCAGGACAGCTTGTCATAGCACAGGCAGGGCCAGGTGACTTCAAGCTTGAAGTCCCAGATTTGATTGGGGTGTTTTGTTGCTGCATGTGACTTTGCATTGCACAACTGCATTGTGAAAATGCTTCTCAAACACTTTGGCCCAAAGTTGGTGGTGCAGAATTTGGCACTTGGCAATTGCAATTTGGATCTTCGCATTTCTGCAAGGTGCCTAAGCGGTACTTGAATTCAAATCGTCGATCGTGTATTTCAAATTTATATCACTGTGTCAAGGATTTTCACTAAAGACCATCATATCATGTAATTCATCATGTAATGTTTGAACCCAAAGACACCAAACCGTTCACCCTGTGCCTTTTGATGGTAGTTCTTGCGTTTTCACATCATGGCAATATTTTTTGCGCTGTTGTGTGTCCGGGGTTGTTTGCTTCATGTTGGTGGAAGACATGTTGTTTTGTGACACTTTTTGGTGTTTGCTGGTCCGCTAGTTTCTGTGCCTGCACCTTACTTATTTCTTGCGATTTGATCACCAGTCTCTAGGCTTCAACATCCTTGTGAGCCTTGTTTGGTAGACCGAAACCTAGACACTGCCACAAACCCCCAAATTTGACCCAATTACTCTTGACTGCAAAGCTAGCGGCGGCACCAATCCGGTTGAGGTCCAGGACAGGGCCCGTAGAGGTCATGTAGGGGACCAATGAGGTCCTGGAGGGGCCTTTTGACCAAGTTCAAAAAATGTTTGTTTTTTGTGGCTTGTCTGGCAGCAAGGCCAGGAATCGTCTTTTTGCAAGCAGAAGACACACTGTGCAATTGATGAATTTGCAGCTGTATAGCGGCGTACATTTGACTTGGCTTTTGCTTGGCCATGACCTTTTGGCCTTCTAGATTTGCTTTTCAGGATTCAACCCATCCTTTCTTATCAATCTGCCTGGTGAGAATGTGAACAGCATTATGTGTGGACTTAAAGAGACATGTTTTCAAATCAGTTTCCGGTGGCCCGAGCATGTTTTTTGGAGTTCGGTTTGCTGGCAATCCTGTAAAACCATCAGGGTTGAGGAGGAGCAGCATATCATGTGACCATGCTACATGTCATGAGCTCACATGCATGGCATGTTTCTGCAGACTTTGTCGGGAAGATTGGTTTCTTATATCTGGCCATGTCTTTTCCTGAGGTTGTGTTCGCTGGCAGCTTCTCCGATGTCTGGCTGCTGACTGGCGGTGTGGGCATGTCCTCTCAACTGTGGCAGGGGGGTATGTTCACTGCTACGTTGAATGCAGATGGAAAGTGCATGGCTGGCATCTTTGCAGTAAGGAGTTCTGCGCTGCCTGGCAGGGTTTTGCTGGAGGAGCTGATGCAGCAGCAGCTTGTGGCAGCAATTTCAAATTCTTCTTCCGACAAGCAGGTGAAGTGGTGGAGACTTGCATCCCCGGGCTGTTGGGGAAAACGAGCCAGCCCATGGACAGCCAGGTCTTGGAGACCCAGGACTTTTACAAGAAGCAGGCAGGCGATAGGGCTTTCCTCCAATGGATGGACGATGTCGCTACCAACTTTTGGGTAACGTGTTGCTCCTGGTGTGTCAACAGCAGCAGCGCAGCCCTTTGCAAAGATGGCCTCATCACAATGGCCGAGACCTTGTATTTGAAGGACAATGAAGATGTCAACGAGGTCAAAGAGAAGGCAATGCTCAAGTGCAGGAAACACATGCCCCAGTACTGGGGCTGTGTGTGTGCTGAGGCCATCCAGGCCCTGGAAGCAGATGCTGGCATTTTGCAATTGAGGACTTGCCTTTCGACCTTGCAGGAAGCTCTTTCAAAAGTTGGTGCCATTGTGGAGGAGGGATTTCCTGGAGTTGATTCTTTCAAGGTGTGGGTGAGGCGCTGGATGCTGTCTGCGGCCTTCGGTGCGAAGATTTTTGGTGCCTTGGACCAGAAGGTGAGTGAGGCAATCAGGAGCCAGCCTGACATTGATTCTTTCAAAGCTCAGGCAGATCTGCTTTGCGAAGCAGACTCATGAGAGTGCTGTGGGGGCGCACTTGCTGCCCTGGACGGCCTTCCGGTTGACCACTTGTCCCAGGCCCACTTGGGTATGGTGAAGACTCTCCACCAGAAGGTGAACAAGGTGAAGTGCTATTCTGTCACAGTCCACGGCCTGAACATGCTTTTTAACTGCTACACTGGCAAGACTTGCAAAGAAGGTTCTGCAATGCTGAGGGAGCGTCTTGGCGGCAATCATAAGCAGTACCTCCCCATCACTGGCTGTGTCTCCATTGACCATGGAAACCTTAATCTTCACACTGACTTTATTTTCACTTCTCATTTGAATCCCCTGCGTGAGCTTGAATTCTTAGCGCATGCTAGTACCCAACCATGTCACCGACCTTTTCTCTTTCAGGTTCAAAAAGACATGCGACCGGAACAATGTCAGTGTGGCGAAAGTGCTGACACAGTGGCTTCAAGAGGTGGCTGCTGTCTGGGCTTTGGGGATTTCTAGGGGGCGCAGTTGGAAACTGAAGCCTTTGGAAGGGGCATCCCCAAACAAGTTGCTTGTTTGTAGGGATCTTTGAGTGCCTTCAGTTTCCCGCCTGTCCTGGCAATTCTTGCCTCTTTTGCGAACCTTGGCATTCTCACTTGGCAATTGCGCCACCTATTGCCGATTGTCAATTCTGCTAAGTCCACAGGATCTTTTTGGTGCGCAGACCCCTTGAAGCTGTCGGCAGGGCTTCCCTTGTTTACAATTGCAATTGTGAATTTCCAGGTGTGACTTGTGGATGCGTTTGAAACTTCACAGCTTGAAGTGTAGAATTTTACATTTGTGTATGCCCCGATGGTTTTGCCAATCTAACTGCTGTGTGCAGATTCTTTGGCCCAGAAATTGGCTTGGACAAGACTTGTCCAAACTTGTGGGAAGTGTGGAAAAAAAGCTGCCGCACTGGTTGGCACCCATTTTTAAGAATTGTGGTTGCTTGCATGCTCCATGGGATCTGGCTCAGCTGTTTGTGTGCCTGCCAGGTCACGCAGACTTGGGGTGACAGAGTTCAAACCAAGAAGCAAAAAGACGCTTCCCTGGGCTGGGTATGTGTGGATTTGAGTGTTTTCCACCGTGCTTTTTTTGTGCCTGCTTTTGTGCTTACTGTTACAGACAATAGGACAATCACAAGGGATATTTCAATAGCTGGATGGATTTTTTGATGGAACATCCACAACAAAATGGGATGGAACATCCACAACAAAATGGTAGCCCCATTTTGGGGAATCTATAGATAAAGGATGTTGAATGGAACTTATAAGGACTGGGATCAAGGAACTATAGGACTACTGGTTGGTGGTTTGGAACATGTTTTATTTTTACACATATTGGGAACAATAATCCCAACTGACCAATATTTTTCAGAGGGGCTGAAACCACCAACCAGACTAATATGGGATAAAGGAACTTTATGGGATGTTCTGATGGGATTTTAGGACCCAGGATAAATATAGGGATATATAATATAGTATGATATAGTTCATGGAACTTTTTGTGCAGATTTTCCAGGAATTCATGTTGAATTTAAAATCAAGAACATGCTTCTGGAACTTGGGGATCCGGAATTTATTTGATAAAGCGAAGAAATTGAAGGATGGGCTATAGGCTGTAGAAATATGGGGATTCAAGAGACGAGAATATTGAATCTAACTATAAAACATGTGATTTGATAGGCAAAAATTGTGGAGTTCACCACCAAGAATTATGATGTTTTCATCCGGGTGATTGTAGAAGGGGAAATCAACATAAAACATGGAATTGACCACGCAAATATGGCGTTTAACCCCAAAAACAATATATATATATCCTTCAGCCAGTTTTTTTGGCGAGCTGGCAAAGCAAGAACACAGTCAGATTTGATCGCTATATTTTGATGGTCCGGCAACTGACTGACAACACTTGATTGCAACATGTTCCACAACAGGTAATAAAGCCATTGGACATTTTCAAATATTAATTGTAAAGATCTGACCAAACTGACTTCAGACTCCAGGCAAGAGTTTGTCACTTATTAACTTTTAAACATGTTCTTTAAACATTCACCTAGCATATCACCCAGCATTGTCCATAGCGTGGCTGTTCTCCCCATCCCCGTTGAGGTGATGACCTGGTTGCCGCCTGGCTTTCCCTTGCCGACCCAAGCGCCGAAATCGCGGAGTTCGACAACGGTTCCGAAATTTCGGAGGCGAAGCCAGCCACGGAGATGGCGTGGACATTGAAGAAGAAGGACCCCAAGGCGTAGCTGGGAGGAGTTTCAGTTTGAGTTTGTCTGATTTTTTGAGGAGAATGCATGAAAATACCCATTGTTTTCATGGTTTACGATCATTTTTCAGCATGCAAATAGGATTTTCTTGAGGGGCATCCACCAGTTTTGGAGAAGGCCAAGTAGGATTTTCAGCCCGAGTTTTTTAGGCAAAAAAAGATCTCCAACTTTCCAACCATACCAAACCTGTGATTTGTTATTATATATGCTTACCAGTGTGCCACATGAATTTAGTGTCTAAAAAATGCAACCAGCATTGCAGATTTCACCAGGCATAGCAGGCATAGTTTTTTGGTGGTTTTGGGGTTGGTAGATATTTTCCATACTAAATAAGCACTGTCTCATGCTAGCCTATGCTAGATTGCACCATGAAAATCAGCATGTTTTGGAGGGTTTTACTGTAATTGTTTATATTGTTTTGAGTTTTGAGGCATTTTTCTTTTTTCAAAGCAGACCCGAGAAGACACCCTGAGTTGTATATGTTTTTGGGTTGGCACCTTGGTAAACCCAAGGAGATATCTTCATTCATTTCTTGATGGCTGTTGGCGGTTGCCCGATTTTTTCCATGGTTGTTTAAGATGTGTTAGAGGGAGACTTGTACCCCATGTTTCTTGCTCCATATGTTTTTTTCCTGCTTGACAAATGGAGCTGTGGCATTTGCTGCTGGATTTTGGATATCACCCATCGCAAGGTATTTTTCGTACCTGGCGAAGCATCCTGAGGCTTGGGGGTGGGTGGTTTTCGAAGTGGCTGTGGGTGAAATGTTCTCAGGCTCCCTTAAGCATCCTTAATCTATGATATCTATGCATGGTTATTAGATGTTGTTAGCCATGTTTGCTCGGCCTAGGTTTTCAATGTGGTTGTTTTCCGTCCCAAGTGACGGAACTTGCAGTGAAGGTCTACGCAAAGCAGCAGGAAGACCGTGACCGTTGGAGGGAAGGACTGCCGCAGGTGTGGAACTGGACATCATTGTCCATCCAATCAACGTATGGTGTCATTACCTAGGTTTGGATATTATGTGATATGAATTTGGGGGTAAATGATAGGTATAATGAACATTAATGAACGTAGGACAATGTAAACATACCTATGCAAATGGTATGGGCTGAGAATTCTTTAAGCAAGGATTGGTGTGTCTGGATGAGCATCCTTGAGGGTCACTCGGTCGCCATATAAGCAGACTGAGAAGAGTAACATGTTGGTTATGGTACACATATTATATTTGTACAGTCATGTACATCATCATGAATATCCTGCTCATACCATGCCAGGTGCTGGTATAGTTTCCTGGAGTTGCCACCAAAGTTGCCGCTCATGTAACAGGTTTATACATACCAGCGACTTGACTGACCCCACCATAGATATCCATAGATCGTCTTAAAGGGATTCTCATGGGCCAACAGATTTGGTGATTTCATCATGGTTGCCATGAAATCATGGAGTTTTCACAGAAAAATAACATGATAGAAATCATGGAATATTTGAGGACGACGACGAAAAGGTTTCCGGTTGATTTCACAGAAAATCAACCCAGTAAAATCATGTTCTATTTCCCCACCTGCCAGGTGAGGGTTGTTAGATTTTATCAGAGCTGTTCTCCTCCTCCTCCGCCTCCTCCTCCTCCTCCTCGCAGTCCAGATCCCAGTGGGCACAGCCGGACCTCCACCGCGAGCACCAGATCCCAGTGGGCACTGCCGGACCTCCACCGCGAGCTCAGGATCCCAGTGGGCACTACCGGACCTCAACCGCGACTTCCAGGTTGCAGTGGGCACTGCCGGACATCAACCGCGACTTCCAGATCGCAGTGGGCACTGCCGGACCTCAACCGCGAGCTCCAGATCCCAGGGTCCCAGTGGGCACTGCCGGACCTCAACCGCGAGCTCCAGATCCCAGTGGGCACTGCCGGACCTCAACCGCGACTTCCAGATCGCAGTGGGCACTGCCGGACCTCAACCGCGACTTCCAGTTCGCAGTGGGCACTGCCGGACCTCAACGGAAAGAATGTCAGGAAAGATGTCAGATAGAATGTCAGAAGATATGCCAGATAGAATGCCAGAAAGAATGTCAGAAAGAATGTCAGAAGATATGCCAGACAGAATGTCAGAAGATATGCCAGAAAGAATGTCAGAAGATATGTCAGATAGAATGTCAGAAGATATGCCAGATAGAATGCCAGAAAAAATGCCAGAAGATATGCCAGATAGAATGTCAGATAGAATGCCAGAAGATATGCCAGATAGAATGCCAGAAGATTTGCCAGATAGAATGCCAGAAGATATGCCAGAAGATATGCCAGATAGAATGCCAGAAAAAATGTCAGAAGATATGCCAGATAGAATGTCAGACAGAATGCCAGAAGATATGCCAGATAGGATGCCAGAAGATTTGCCAGATAGAATGCCAGAAGATATGCCAGAAGATATGCCAGAACATATGCCAGAAGATATGCCAGATAGAATGCCAGATAGAATGCCAGAAGATATGTCAGATAGAATGCCAGAAGATTTGCCAGTAAGAAAATGTACTAATGTCATGGTGGGGATCATTCGAAGTGAAGTATTTTTTTCATCATAGAAAACCAGCATTGTTGGTCCAGAATCTCCATCATCGGTCATGATTTCCGCTCTCCAGGTGCTAATGGTGGCGGAAAAGCCCAGTGTGGCGCGTTTGGTCAGCGACTTTCTATGTGGCACCCGGCCGCGCGAGCGCCGGGGCATTGCAGTGGCCTGTCCAGTGCTGGAGTTTGTGGCCGCATCTTGGAGTTAATGGATGACTGGCTGGTGGTTTCAAACATTTTTTATTTTTCCATAATATATGGGAATAATCCTTCCATTGACTAATATTTTTCAAGATGGTTGAAACCACCAACCAAATTAATATTCCCCCAAATGTGGTAACATTGGGCTGTGACCCATCCCCATTTAGCTATCGATTTTAATGGATTTGATGGGAGTTCACCATCAAAATAAGTTTTTGTTTAAAATGGGATTTAAACCATCAACAATGGGAGTTAAACGGATTGAATGGGATGACCTACCAACCCTAGAAATGGGATTTCATTGGATTTGATTGATCAATAATGGGGTTTTAAAGGCCATTCTGAGGGGCAGGATGAATTTTCAAGTCCCTCCACAACGATCCCAGCGCACCAGCCGAGCCGCTAGGTCTTCCCGCCCACCGGGCAGCGCAGCGTCATCACGGTGACGTCGGTCATTGGACACATCTTCCAGTTGGAATTTGATGGAGAACACTCCTCAGAAGCATGGAAGAATCAGGATGAACTGTGGATCATCGTTGGCTACTTCAAAATATTGCCCATGGATACATGCTATATAATTGTAAATGATTAAAATATATATATCAAAATATGCGGTTCTGGGGGCCTAAGCCGGTCCACGCCTTTGCTTTTTTATCGTTGATGTTTTGCTCAGTGCTCGTTTGTTCATTCAAAACCAATGTTTGTGGCTTAACTCACACGCCATTATTACTCAAGTTGGGTTAAGTTAAAGTGTCATAGAATCAAGCCAACTTATTATAAAGCTGGGTTGTTACTCAACTCCTCTTATTAATTTTTTTCCGGTTATCAAGTTCCAACCCAATTGAAGTGTCACCAACTGGCCTTGGAACCCGGTATCTTTGCCACTTCGAATCTTGCGGGATGATCTTCCATCATATTTTGGCCCCCGGAATGGCTTGGTGTTTCATCGCGTTTCACGATGTTTCCAGGACCGTAGTGGACCTCAGGAATCTTAGTATGAGAATTCATATGAGAGAATGGAAGATTCAGGCAATTTCAGGCACGTGTTGCCGTGTTACTCACCCTCTGGCAATCTGATGCATAGCGGCATAGCGGAAAATGGCCAATAGGTAAATCATCCTCAAATGGGTCATGTTCCATGGCTATCTCAAATTAGAGTATAACAAAATAAACATTGCATAGTAATTCCCTCCTCTTTTAGTAAGATGTTGATTTTGCCTTTGTCTGTTCTATCGTTTTGGGGCTATACCAGAGGCTACTTGTCACAAAATCGTCTCCTACCAAGGACCTGGTGGATCTGTACACAGCCCCCGTGGTCAAGGTCTTCACCGACTCCGCGCGCAAAGCGCGCTTGGCGGAGCATCTGACGGACTTGGCCAAGGCGTCGGGGTGATGGATCAATGGATGGAAATAAAGAGAACTTGGGATTTTTAGCAGCAAAAACATGCGGATTGAACATGATTGAACCAGAAATCTCAGGCGCGAACAGTTGCGAAGCGACAAGGGACAAAACAAACAGGCTGCAACCAACAGTTTTTGCGAAGAAATTGAAGCAACAACGGGGGACAAAGTGGGCATGGCATGTTCTATATTTGAAGTGTTAGCTAATCTTGAGATTTTTTGAACGTATTTCAAAGTATTAAGGATATTTAAGGATCATGTCAATCTGATGTAGTTGTTATCTTAACCTTAGCAATCTCATCTAGACGTATAGCTGGCGCGCGTATATCAAGTCCTCGCAGCCATCGAATCCCTGAGGATTCGGCGCAGCTTTGCCTGTGGCTGGATGCAGCACCTTAGAACGGATTCAATAGCTACAAGCTGAATGTAACATGAAGTGCGTCTAGATTCTAAATTAAATAGATGATGTACAGTACGAAGTTGATCCTTGATATATCTTGATATATTTTGAGATAATATATATATATATAGTAATTGCTAAATTTTCCAATAAAGGATTAGATTAGATGCTGTACTGTATTGAGATGTATGTCTATGATGTAATTGCTTGATTTTCAATGCCAATTCTGTCCGGACTCCTCAGATTCAAGATTTCTTACTGGGAGTATTTAGACCATGTATTTTATTTTGGATCAACACATGCCAATTGGGCATCAATAGTGTTGAACCATAGGCATAGGTCATGGAAAATCCTCGGTAGATCATCTCCCCATTGTAGGGATTTCAAAATACCAATCCCTTTTTCTGGCCATGGGTCCAGCAAGGACCGGGAAGGTGAGAACATCGGCTTTGAGGTCATCGCGCTCTGTAAGGAATACTTCGATGAGAGCCTTGACTGATGCTACGGTGGTGATTTTTGTTGGCGGAACAATGCGACATGCTCATGGATCAAGAGTAGAGACACTTGGACCAATAGGATGCAGTCATATCCGCTAATACACCGTCCCATTCCAGGGTTACGACCGGCCATACATGTTTTGCATAAAGCCTAGCCTATATTGGTTTAAGCAGATATGAGGCCCGTTGTTGGCCAAAATTCCTTTGGCTCCAAACTCTTCTGGGGGGCAAGATACATGGTACAACGCCCGCCTCGTGTTTTTTTTTGGTGTTTTTCCCTGGAAGAATAAGTGGATTTTCCAACATTATTGGTTTTTGCATGTTTTCATACTTTCAGGGGTACAGTAGTTTCATACGTTCATCTTATTTGTTTTGCCACGAATGGGGAAATGTACTACCTATCCATGTCTTTGCAGGGTATTTAAGACTAGCCATGGGAATAGTAAAGATGAAGTCAACCGATTATCTCAATTGAACATGATTCACAACCAGTGACCCCGCAGTTACTTCCGCCCCAAAAAAACAAAGCGTGCGGCTCATCGTAAAGCGACCAACGGTGTGGCTTGGTACTCCATGGATCAGGACAAAGATCCATCGTGCCATTTTCTCGGCCCTCACAAAGGATGAGGCTGGTTCATTGCCACCAGCGCAGATAGCTGACAAATGATCACTAGAAATGGGGGACGAAGCCATGTGAATATACGATGAGTGCAAATATAAGCATATACTGTAGAGTAACCCTGGGTTTGTGGTGACAATCTCAGCAGCCGACAATAGACCCTAAAAGCAGCAACCGTCTTTTGTCAGTCTTCCCACAATGGACGGATTTTCATTGGATAGGTTACAATTTCTTCATGGGAACCCCACATTTCCAAGGAAAAACCCTGGTTTGCTTTTGAGTCGTCCTTTACATCCTTATTATTATTATTATTATTATAATATATATATATACCGTATATACCCATTCGTAATCACAACTACTTCACATACTGTGGATGCTTGCGAAATCCTGCCCTAGTTCACTGTTAGCTTTTCCCACTATTTATAAAGGGTTTCAACATGTTTCAACCATCCTTTTGGTGGTACAGGATTTCTCGATCATCCACAATATCATATGGCTATGGGTCAATACCTATACATACCATGTTTAGTGGGATGAACATCCATTTACCAGCTATTTTAGGGTTCACTAGGTACCAGGGTTTTGACCCATAGCCATATCCTTCCTGTGTCGAGTGCCCCGTCCTTCGCAGGTGCGTGCTTCGTTTCAGGCGCTCGGCCGACCGAATGCAGATGTCGCGAGAGGTGGGCTGGGATGGGCCTCGGGCATAGACCATTTGTTTTGGGAATGGTGACCATACCACCATATACCACCTATAAACATGATGATTTAGGGGTTTATGATTGTTTTACCCACATTAGTTCACTTGACATATCTTGACATACTTCACTGGTAAACAACCAATCATTACGGCAATCTAGTGTAACCCATCATTCATCTAATCTGTTTAGCCCAATATCACCAAACGACAAATCTAGCCGATGACTTTTGAAGAGGGATATCAGCAACAAACATCGGTTCACTGGGATTTGATGTAGGGGTGTGACATTGCAGATTTCCCTCAAGAGAGTCTTGGAGTGTCAGAAACATTGGAGGCGGTAGTTTTGAGCAATCTGACCAAACCAAGTATGTATACATATTATACATACGTATAGAAATACATACATCTAACTTTGAAGACAATCAATAGACGAAGGCACAACTTATAATATAAGCAAGCACGCTAATCCGTCCCCCCGAATACCATTATTATTTTAGTTTAATATTGGACCTATTCATTTTGGAGGTCCTTTACTTGGGTTGTATTCATTCAATATGATCGGGGGGAGGGGAAGCAGCCAGGAGTGGATACACGACAAGAGCTGGACTTGCGCGTAGGACCACACAATGATGGGCTGCGCAGGGAAGGTGTGCCACCACTGCGTTGATCCCAATGGAGGGGACGCAAATGACCCAAGCATCAACCGTTGATGAGGTTGTCCAACAAGTGAAATTGGTGAAAATGGACTGGTGAGTCCGAAATCTTAGTCTTGACATAGTCCAGTTTACCATACAAGGATAAATCATGATGGTAAATCACGACAAACCAAATGGTGCTATGTAGTCCTTTGCCATCCTTTGCCCTAATGATTGTCCCTGGTTATGCTGAGATCTAAAACTGTTTTATGACGTACAATCTGTGGGACTCATACTTTTCACGGAATTGCTGAACTACCCTCTGGAAAACGTTTACATATATATATATAACCATGGAAAATCACCAATTTTATGAGAAAACTCACTATTTCTATGGCCATATTCAATAGCAAACTGTTAGTTTACCAGAGGGTAATTCATCATCTGTCGGCAAAACTTCCCAGTCAGACTGAAACTTTCACGTAAGATCGTCCCATATATATGGTGCTGTGCGAAAAACATGTTCCCAGACAGTCAGATCCACTATGGTAAACCCACTGATAAACTCTCCCCGAATTCTGCCATCAATAGGTTAACCATACCCAAAAGTATCAAAATGGAGGTGTATTTATTGGCTTTACCATGAATTTACTATGTATTTGTTTGGATATTTGTCATGGTCATAGGGTTTTTGGATGTTTTTGGCCATCTCCCAGTCCACTCACTGCAGGAATCGCCTTCAGTCGCCTGCTGACGCGGCACCTGCGGAACACTCCAGTGGCCACCGAGGGTCAGAAAGGCGGCCTCAAGCCGTCCATCACCTACGGACCGTGCCAAACGCCAGCCTTGGGGTTCTGTGTGGCGCGACAGGATGGGGTGGGACTCGCCAGAAAGCACCGGGTTCCCCACCAAAACAATTGTCATTGTCAATAGGTGTTCCCAAAAAAAGACGGAAAAGTCAGATCAGCATTGTGTCTAAATTCGCCCATGTTTTTTTGATTTATCCAGCGATCTGGTTGCCCTGCAGGAGGAGATCGATAGCTTTCAGCCGCAGAAGCTGTGGAGTCCAGTGCTGAATGTGGAGGTTTCTGGGTGTCAGCTGCAATTTGAATGGGAGCACAGTGAAACGCAGGCGCTAGGGCAGGGTGCTGGAGGGTCTGTCCTCAGTCAAGAACCAGGATACAACAGGTTTTCGCAGAGGATGTTGTCCAGACATCAAATGCCCGAAGAAACAGTGGCAACCTGGGTATAATAACCAACCCCTACGGTGACAGCACCGTCTGACTATATAGACTATATACAATCGAAATAAAAAAATTCTGTTTGTCACGACTGCAATAGATAAGCAGCTGAGCAGGATCCCTCATGTTGGCGATGTGCCCGGATTTTTGTTGGCCATAGTCTCCCTTTTTGCTGGTCACCCCCCCTACTTGCCGTAATGTTTTGTTGGCCGTAAGTACTAATTGTTGTGGGTCATTCCCAGTTGTTCGTTGCACCCAGTGTTGTTCCCAGATGACCCGGATGATGCTTGCCACTAGTCTTTCCCAAGTTTCTTGTTTGTGCATCCACGTGTTGAATCATTTTATAGCAACTTAATTGGCAACCCCCAAAAACATAGATCAGTAAAATCCCATGATACCCTCTGGTACTCAAAGGTAGCAGCTGTGAGAGACAGCTCCCAGAATGGAAGTTTCAATGGAAACATCATGAAATATCAGACAAAATAGGGAAAATCATGAAAAATCCATTGCCACGTTTGATGACAAGATGGTAAGTTGCACCTTTTCTGTTTTTTTTCTATCTCTGGTTGGTGGTTTGGAACATTTTTTATTTTTCCATATATTGGGAAGAATCATCCCAACTGATTTTCCAGAGGGGTAGGTCAACCACCAACCTGATCTATTTGGGGCTTAAAAAATCCCATCTGTTGATCATTTTTGAGGTCTATCACCTGGCAGGACCCGACTGCGGCTGAAGCCATCCGCAAGGCCTTGCAGGGCACGACCTCAGCACCACTGGCGCTGTCCATGAAGGAGGAGAGATGGGATGTTGCCTTCAAACATGGAGGCTTAACCAACAACAATTGAAGGTTTAAGCATTAATCATTGTTTTTCTTTTTATACAAGCCATGAGGACATTTAACCAACGAATTTTTGCTCACCCTCTGGTAAACTAACAGTTTGCAAAGTGGAAAATCACCATCTTTAAGAGGTAAATCAAGGAACTAAATGTGCCATTTTCAATAGCTATGGTAAATTACCAGAGGGTAACCAAGAACAAAGGAGGTTTAAGTTTAAGCATTAATTAATCTTGGGCTGTTCTTAAACCAACCATGATGACATTTGACCAACATACTTTTCGAACGTGGTCCGGAAATAACGTGGTTCACAAAAATTGCGATTGTCTTCAATGCATCATGTATTTTGATTTAACCGTCAAAATTTGGGATGTAATGGGATTTGCCTAAGACAAGAATTGTTAGTTATACCATGTTATACCCAAAAAAAGATCGCACTTTCAATCTGGATCATGATTGTTAAAGACGATGATTAAACGTCCAAATTTGAGGGTGCCCAATCTTCAGGCGTGTGCTGGCAACTGTTGGTGAACCCAATGTGAGAAGAATCCAAGTGTATATTTCTCCTAGTTAAATCACCAAACCAAGCTTTTGTTGCCTCTTTGGATCCATGCTGGAGCTACACTTTTCATCTCACCATAACACAATCAAGTGTTGGCTACTACTGACTGGGATTTGCCTCAGTTTCAAATGGTGGATACATGTGGATACCAGAAAATTACCATTGTTCTAAGGAAGATGTTGACATAGTTCGGGGTTTTGGGTTGCCCAACTTTGAGACCCAGCAACGACATCCGCAAGGAGCCCTTGCCACGACCAGTGGGGTTGAACACAGTGTCGCTATTGCGCGCCGCCAGCAATGCCTTAAATCTCGGGCCGAAGCAAACCATGAAAGTGGCGGAGGACGGGTCTGGGAGCGGCTATCCCCAATCACTTGAAGTGGAAAATAATGATAAATCAGTGGATTCTGGGGTAGCCTATTTTCAGACAAATTCATGGCTGAGTGCTGTCGCTCTGAGATGTTACTTGTTGGACAGGGAAGCTAAAGAGCGGTTTCAGCTTGGTGGTTTGGAGTGCTTTTGATGCAGACCTACTGGGGATGGCAACGGGGTGCAATCAGTAACCAGCGTCTTTCCACTGGTTGAAACTGGTTCTCGTTGGCAAAAGTCATTCATGTTGTCTCCTTCCAGTTTCATTGTGAGTGGTTTCAAATACAATTTATTTCCACTCCTACTGGAATGATCCTCAAGGGCTTTCACGCTTTTCACGAGGGGGATTCTCAACCAGCAACCCTCAGCCAGCAGGAGCTGTATTCCTCAGGTTTGATCAGCTATCCACGGACAGAAGCTTGGCATAGAATGGATGAAGGGGGCATCAAATAGATATGAAGCACCACAAAGTTAACATCCACTAGAAATCCCAAAGATTTGATCCTGCCTGAAACACCATAAGCCATGGCATGTTTTTCTTGGCCTTTTAAAGGCCCCCATAAAGGCAACGGTCACAGGAAACCAGTCGCTACCACAGCACCTTCGACCCGCGCGCCTCGCTGCGGCCGCTGGCCGCCTCCGCGGCTGCGCCGTTGCTTTCAGCGGCGGCGGAGAAGGCGCTGAGGACCTGGAAATCCACGGCGCAACGGCAGAGCTATCGCCACCTGGAAGCCATTTCAGGTCATCGCAACTAACCATGGGGGTCCTAAACTGTTTTTTTTCCAGGGGTGTAGCCATAAATCCTGATTGGAGGGTCTATTGTTGAGTTTACCTCAGTAGCCTCTGGAGAAAAACACAACATTGGATGGATCAATACTTATATTGGACTACCGGAATGAGGGGTGATGAGCACAAGTCTGCCAGGTACTTTCTTCACCACAGGGCAAAGTTTTGAGGTTTTTGACCCACACTTCGGAGGAGCTTAGCTCAGTAAACCTTGGTCCATTTTTTTCTACCGATTGTTTTCTACACGGGTAGCGCATGGTCCACAATCAATGGGTAAACGGTAGCAAAACGGCATCTGGATTCTTCTGTCAACAAGAAGAACATGATTGGCTTTTAGCGGGGCTCACATGCACTTTGCAAGTTGAAATCATGTTCATAAATTCATAAGTTGGTAAACTGTCATGTTTGCCATTACTTGAGTGTCCAGAAATTGCACGCTAGTGGGCATGATTGTAAACTTGCCATGAGAGAGCGTCCCAAAGACTCTAGCTTTCAGACTAATTTATTTTAAATTATTTTAATATATGTTTAACATGTTTGAATATCTTGTATTTACTTGTATTTACCTAAAACACGGGTTTTGGGCACAAACTCTCGCGTCCGAGGTGCCCGGGATGTGGGAGACCACCCACCCATCGTGCCACTGCGGTCACCGGAACGGGGTGAGATCTATGGGCAGCAGAAGCGAATCTACGACTACGTGTGCCAACACTTCGTGGCGTGGCTGGGTGGCAAGCAGGGGATGTGTATAACGACATGTATAACATGGACTGTTTTTTGCGGAGTTGGTTGTAAGAACAAGTGGCAGTTTGATGCTTGGTTTCTTTTGATGGTCTGTTTCCACAAGGTGGTTTTGCTTACAAGACATCCAAAATTGGTTGCTGGCTGCTGGTTGTTTCCTGCTCTCAAAGCTTACTCGGGCCATTGGCGAATGCCGAATGCCCAATCAAAAATGGCTTAGTTCACACAATGTTCCTACATTTTCTGCAGGGTGGGTAGCAGCCACAAAAAAAACTGTACGCCTGTTGACTGGTTACCATGGGGGGATCTACAACCTGATCTAATGCGGCATATCGGCATATGATATTGTAGCCAATGATAGGCTGACCTATTCGCGAACCAGTATAGTGAGATGGGATAGTGGTATTTTTCATGGCTAATTTGATGATTTATACTTCGTCAATTCGTTGTTCATTTTATACATAAATATATATGTTCATTCCCATTTAGATCCATTTGGTAGTTCTATATGGTTGGCCAATCTTTCTTAGCAATAGATTCTGAATCGATAGTCATTTTGTTGTTCTCTTCGATGCTGGGTGTCATCCTTGGTCACCACCAGTGCTGGCTAAATGAACAGCTGTTGCTGGGTATCTCCCTGTCATACCCTCAGCTGGTGATGTTTCTACATATTCCTACTATATCATCATTTTGCTGCCTATAGCAATCAACCCCAAATCTTGTTGGTTGAAACTCAGAAACCACCTACTACCAGCCACGAGGTCCTGGCTGAGTGATGTGACGTTGCAACGCTATGAGGTTGCTTGGCTGGGAATGTGGTTGGCAGAGCGTTGGTATATGAGATGTAGATCAGAATTTGATTTCATGGCTCATTGCAACTAGAGATGTTTCAGGCTTGGGGAAGGCTGCGTGTCAAGCAAGCGAAGTGCTGGGTCACCATCCGACCGGCCTCTTGAAAACTTGACCTGCAATGGATATGTTTCTTTGCCGGTGAAACCATAATTCTTGTTGCGAAAAACCAGCAGTTCAAGTTCCGTAGCAGTTTCAGCAACTATTTCATGGACAAAATTTCTTTGTGTATCCATGTCTATCCGTCTATCCCATGCCGATTCAACACGGTTAAACCACCATGGTTTCCAACTTTCTGATAGAATATTTCCACATGGTTCCATCATCTGGGTATGGATCAATACCTATTAATACCATTTTTAGGGGGATGAACATCCATTTACCAGCTATTTTGAGGTTCACCAGGGGTACAAGGTTTTGACACACTATCATCTTCCACCATGTTTCACCGCATTTTGCCATGGCACGGCCCTAGGCCACCTTGGAGGTCGCTGGTTTCCGGTTCCAGCTGTTGCTGCGTCAACGGAGAGATCCCGATCCGGGCTGGCTGCGGGCTATGCCCTGGCGCATCGGCGAGTGGCTCGGGATGGATCTTTGAAGAAAATGGAAGATATATACCATCTGGTAAACTAACATAACTATTGAAAATGGCCATTTATAGTGGATTTTCCCATTAAAAATTGTGATTTTCCATAGCTATGTTAGTTTACCAGAGGGTATACCATCTGGTTAACCATTTACAGAAAAATGGCCCATTTACAGATATTTATACCATCTGGTTATTTAACAGTTTGCCATGGAAAGATCCACCATGCTATGAATAGGTGAAGCATCTATTTCGATTAGGGCCATCTATACCATGGCGAACTGTTAGTCATAACCAGAGGGTATATATATATATATGACCCAGACCCCCAGAGTGAACGGGAACCCTTGCTACGCATTCGGGAAAACAAGTAAACAATAAATAATGAAAACAGAAATTTCAAAAATCAAACTAAAACAATAATAAATGATAATAATAGTAATTAATTAAAAAATGGAAAGATTAAAATATATATAAAAAAATGGAAAATGAAGTGAACATACAGAAGGCAAAAAATGTATATATAAATAATCATTGTTTTTCAAAGAATAAAAAATATTGTCTTTTCGGAAAACAGGTACTGTAATATATAAGAATGAAAAATGAACACATTGAAACAAATGAATAAATGAAATATCCTTAAAAATCCAATGCATAATTCGTATATAGTGTCTAGTTTTTAGATTGCTTTCAAATTGGTGGGAGCAATGTTCTTTGAGTGACAATCCAAATGCTCAAAAGTCGCGCCTGCGGCGGGCCTTTTTTTTAAGATTCATAGATTTTTTTTCGTTGGCAGGCGGCAAGGCTTCTGTTTGCAACAAACGTCCAAATTATTTTAAACACCATACATGTAAAAACGAAAGACCAAGAAAAATAAGCATGAACATTGTTAAACAAAATGTTCAAACAAAAGCGAACAGACTTGAAGAATCAAAGAATGTTTCTGGATTATGTCCATTTGTTTCATGCTCAACAGCAGGTGCAGCGCTGCTGTGGAGCAAGTCCAATGACCTGTTGTAAGATGTTGCAAGTATTTGTTTTGGAATTCTTTAGGTGCCTGAATTCGTTTCTTTATGGTTCCTGTTGTTTTCTGCGCATACTTTATTTTGACCTACGACCTACGCTGTGAGCATCTACTAGTTTGTCACCCAAATTCTTCACAAAATGAGTCATGTGGATGGCTGCAGTTACCTGATTCAATACAATTTGCTCAAAACCCTTTCAAACTGGATTTCAATCTGAAACAATTGGTTTGCAAATATCCTAATCCTTCTTTTCGTGTAATTCCCTTATTTCCTTGAATTATGAAAGTTTCACAGAACTATATACATATATACATATATATTTATATTTAAATATACATATCTTCATCTAGACCAATCTTTATTTCAACAACCATCACCATAACAACCATGGCCTTATCCAAGCCTAGCACCGCCCTGTAGGCTCTCCCTGGACCTCACCGGCCTGGAGCGCCTCACCGCGCTGCTGCGACGCCTGGACGGCCGCCCGGTCGCCTGGCGCCCGACGGCCGCGGCGCTGCGGCAGCGCTGGACGGAGGCGCCGAAGCCGTTGACGGAGGCGGAGCTGGTGGCCACTTGGGATGAACGGGGGGAGATGAGCCCCAGACAAGTTGGTGGCAAAACTGGTAGATTTTTTTTTCGGAAATATCATGCAAAATTGGTCATGCCTGCTGAAAGACAAATGGGGAATATATAGATGTTCTAGAATATGTTATTACCTGGTGGAACATATGAGGAAATACATATGTTCTATGATGTTCTATATTATTGTTCTAAGATCTGAATGTGAAAATGAGAATGGTGAAATAATACTAGGATTCGTCTTTATTGGAACGTGTTGATGTTTCAATATGGCTCATATGGTTCAATATTAAAAGACCCTATCAAAATATCAAATACCAGTAGTACCGCACAAGGCGGTGGCGGAAGTTTCAAAAATAGGAAACCTATAGGAGAGGTGAGTTGTTGTGAATCACGGATGGCAGAGCAAATCCACTCATGGACCGAAAGGTGGTTGGAATATCGAGCTATCTATCTATCCATCCATGTTTCTATCTATCCATCCATTTGTCTGTCCATTGCCTATCTGTCTATTTATCTCCTCTATCCATCTATCTATCCATCTATCTATCTATCTATCTATTTGTCTATCTATCTATCTATCTATCTATCTATCTATCTATCTATCTATCTATCTATCTATCTATCTATCTATCTATTTATCTATCTATCTATCTATCTAATCTAATCTAATCTAATCTAATCTAATCTAATCTAATCTAATCTAATCTAATCTAATCTATCTATCTATCTAATCTATCTAATCTATCTATCTATCTAATCTAGCTATCTATCTATCTATCTATCTATCTATCTTATCTATCTTATCTATCTTATCTATCTTATCTATCTTATCTATCTTATCTATCTTATCTATCTTATCTATCTATCTATCTATCTATCTTATCTATCTTATCTATCTTATCTATCGAATCGTATCTATCTTATCTATCTTATCTATCTTATCTATCTTATCTATCTTATCTATCTTATCTATCTTATCTATCTTATCTATCTTATCTATCTTATCTATCTTATCTATCTTATCTATCTTATCTATCTTATCTATCTTATCTATCTTATCTCTCTTATCTATCTTATCTATCTTATCTATCTTATCTATCTTATCTATCTATCGATCGATCTATCGATCTATCGATCTATCTACCTACCTACCTATCTATCTATCTACCTATCTATCTATCGATCTATCTATCTAATCTAATCTAATCTAATCTAATCTAATCTAATCTAACCTCATCTAATCTAATCTATCAATCTATCTATCTCCCTATCTATCTATCTATCTATCTATCTATCTATCTATCTATCTATCTATCTATCTATCGAATCTATCTAATCTATCTATTCTATCTAATCTATCTAATCTATCTAATCTATCTAATCTATCTAATCTATCTAATCTATCTAATCTATCTAATCTATCTATCTATCTATCTATCTATCTATCTATCTATCTATCTATCTATCTATCTATCTATCTATCTATCTACCTCTGTCTACCTCTGTCTATCACTATCTATCTCTATCTATCTATCTCTCTCCATCTATTTCTATCTATCTCTATCTATCTGTATCTATCTCTATCTATCTCTATCTATCTTTATCTCTATCTATCTCTATCTATCTCTATCTATCTCTATCTCTATCTATCTCTATCTATCTCTATCTCTATCTACCTACTTATCCTTCTAGTTGCCTGTCTACTTATTTAGTATCTGTCTATCTACCTATCCATCTATCGGTCTTTCCATCTATCTGATTAGCTCTCTATCTGTCTATGCATCCGTCTATCCATCAACTGCCTGTCTATGCGTCTTTCTGTCTAGCTATCTTTCTTTCTATTCTTCTCTTTCGAGATCTATCCATTTCCTTGTCTATCTGCCTGTCTTTCCACTCGTCTCTCGGTCTATCCATCTATCTAGTTGACTATCCGCCCATCCAGCTGTCCATTCAATCCATTTCAGTACCGAAACACTTCACCCATCCATCTAACTGGTTCTTCATCTTTCCGTCTAGATAGTAGTTCGACAGTTGCACAGAAACCAAACAGTGCGAACAGAACCGGGTGTTAGTTGTGGTGTAGCTTCTCAAACCTGATAATGTGAGAAATCACTCTACCACGATCGATCTATCTATCGATCTATCTATCTATCTATCTATCTTATCTATCTTATCTATCTTATCTATCTTATCTATCTTATCTATCTTATCTATCTTATCTATCTTATCTATCTTACCTATCTTATCTATCTTATCTATCTAATCTATCTATCTATCCTATCCTATCCTATCCTATCCTATCTATCTATCTACTTATCTATCTATCTATCTTTCTATCTATCTATCTATCTATGTATCTATCTAATCAGTCTATCTATCTATCTATCTATCTATCTATCTATCTATCTATCTATCTATCTATCTATCTATCTATCTACTTATCTATCTATCTATCTTTCTATCTATCTATCTATCTATGTATCTATCTAATCAGTCTATCTATCTATCTACCTACCTACCTATCTATCTATCTTATCTAATCTAATCTAATCTAATCTAACCTCATCTAATCTAATCTATCAATCTATCTATCTCCCTATCTATCTATCTATCTATCTATCTATCTATCTATCTATCTATCTATCTATCTATCTATCTATCGTATCTATCTATCTATCTTATCTATCTGATCTATCTTATCTATCTTATCTATCTTATCTATCGTATCTATCTTATCTATCTTATCTATCTTATCTATCTTATCTATCTTATCTATCTTATCTATCTTATCTATTTTATCTATCTTATCTATCTTATCTATCTTATCTATCTTATCTATCTTATCTATCTATCTATCGATCGATCTATCGATCTATCTACCTACCTACCTATCTATCTATCTATCTACCTATCTATCTATCTATCGATCTATCTATCTATCTATCTAATCTAATCTAATCTAATCTAATCTAACCTCATCTAATCTAATCTATCAATCTATCTATCTCCCTATCTATCTATCTATCTATCTATCTATCGAATCTATCTAATCTTTCTATTCTATCTAATCTATCTAATCTATCTAATCTATCTAATCTATCTAATCTATCTAATCTATCTAATCTATCTAATCTATCTAATCTATCTATCTATCTATCTATCTATCTATCTATCTATCTAATTCTGTCTACCTCTGTCTATCACTATCTATCTCTATCTATCTATCTCTCTCCATCTATTTCTATCTATCTCTATCTATC